ACGCAGGGACGTTTCTACGGGACGCCCGGGACTTGCTTGCGGGACACTTTGAGAAGCGTACCTATATAAATCGCACTGATTTTAAGAGCAAAATGTTGTTGCCAAAGCTACCGCGTTGGTTGACTGCATGCATAAATTAACACATGGATTAACATTTTGTACACGCGATAGTTATATCGCACGCAAGAACGCAGATTAGTGTTTCAAACAATCTAATTCACATCGCAATCAATCAGTCAACATGCAGTGTAAAACAGACATCGTTGGGATCCTTGACATGGACGGTTTTCAAATTGGAAAGAAATATTTCTGTAAGGAGTTGGGAGTCATAAAGGTCGGAGACTCTGAAGCATCGTCGTTCTTTTTCGATATTGGTTTACACTGGAACGAGCTCAACGACAAAGACAAGAGAACGTGTAACTTCGTCCAGAAGAATATACATAGACTCCCTTTCAGAGTTCCACGGGGCACTAAAGCATTTCAAATTTCGGACTTGCAGGCAATTGTAGAGAATTTCTACCGTGAAATACAGATAGATTCAAACTCTACAATTGCCTTCAAAGGCGGACATTACGAAAGGGATTTGCTGGCGAGTCTCCGTATTCCGGCCGTAAATTTGGAATGCTTTAATTGTCCCAAAGCTGAAAAACTATTTGATCAACTGATCTGGTTAGAAACCTGCGGGAACCACCTGGAAAGCAACGCTTATCAACACTGCGCAAAAGTTGAAGTCGAGGCTTTTGCGATGTGGCTGCAACAGTAAAGACAAACACAAAACACCGGTTCTTTTAAGAACCACCAATTTTACAAAAAAAGAATAAAAACGAAACTCGATTATTAACATATTTACACTGAATCTCAAAGTTTACTTCTCAAATATTCCACATATGCCTTATAATGATCTTCTTCATGACTTCTAAATTGCTCGCCTGTCGCTTTCACAGTATACTTAAAACTAGGAGGCATTGAGAAAAAGACCATAGCCCCAGGTTCAAGTGGGTCATCACAACAATCCTCTTTGCAGTTAGAAAGTTGGTCTAAAATACTCAACATCTCACTGTTCTCCACACTCATCATTGATTTAACATACATGGGGTCTCTCGTCAATTGATTCCAATATTCAAACACGTATTCATCCCACTGAAGCTCTAAAACTTTGGTCACCTCAACAAACTTATTCCATACCATGTCTTTTTTGCTAACTCGCTCTATGGCTTCCATATCATACATCTGCGATCTCTCCTCATACGATAACATAAGACACTCACTCTGACTAAAGCGATTTAGTTTACAGCCACAGCCAGGGGCGGATCCAGACCGATGCCAGCGATGCGAATGCATCGGTCAAAATTGAGAAATCATGATTCATGTTGCTTGAAATATATAGATATATAATTCGCCAATAGTCAAAGCACACAGTAATAAAATATCTCCTATCAACCCGCAAATCTTTGCTTAAAATTGACTCCATGTCAGGAATACACTATTTAGGATGAAATCCAATTTAAATTGTCTCAATAACAGTCCAAATTGTCAAAATATTATAAAGTCCAACATACGACGTTGCAAATTGCGATCGCAAATGTGTACTTTCTGTTGTTTTGCGACACTTAAGCGTCAATATTTTCGCGACAAAATATGTTCTTTTTTACTGCATCCTGACGTCACAGTTGAAGCAAAATGCATCACCTACGTCACGTTAGATTCGATTGGCATCCATTTTGCATCAGTGAATGCATCGGTCCCGAGTCCTTTTCCGCGTGAAATCTAACGTGACATCATCAAATCTATTGTTTTAGAGCCCTACGTCACGTTAGATTTGGCCGCTGAGCGATGCATCGCATGCAGATTGCGGGCGCTCGCATCATTGCACTGATGCAAATTGCAAAATCAAATCTACTGTGACGTAACGAGGCATTCGATTCAAGACATGGCGGCAAGGATATTTGATCAATTTGGATATGCAAACACTATATGGTCTGTGTGCAAATGGCAAATAATGCGAAGAGAAACCCCTCGAAATTGACGGCGAACATATAATTTACAGTCGAACCAATTACTACCAAGTGGAAGAATGGAAGGGATCTTAAATATATGTCCACGATGTGAAACTCGATCGAACTGAGGGCTCGATTAAATTAAGTAAGTTAAATTTCTCTATATTTTTACAAATGGTAGTAAATTACTAAATTGTTCAGTTCAAGAAGTGTGTAAAGTGGAAAATGGGGTCCTGCACAATTAATATAGATTTGTATGTAATAACAAAATAATTACAGTTTGTGTCTATTACTGTTGTTGCTCTATATTCCAGAAAGCCCAGAAAGATGTTAGTGGTTGGGGGGCGGGGGTAGGGGGGGGGTAGAGTTTGACATTTTACAGAGGTTTGCTTGTCTGGAGCCAAACTAGCCCCAATACAAACTTGACAGCTTGCTTTACTGAGGCAAATTTCATCTCTGTTTACATGGGATTATATCCTGTGCCCAGACCTTCATTTTTCTCACAGCTGGCGGGCAAATAAAAATGAAGACCTGATACACATGTTATTATGTTTGTGTCCTACAACTGCCTTTATTGTTGTAACTCTGATTGGCTATTTCTGGCATGAGTATTCATGCCATATTTAATGTATTGTTTTGATAATTGGTTAATGCTATAATTAAATAATGATATATTTAGTGATTGCAACTATATTTAGCTTGTTGTTATTATGTGAAATTGACATTTCTTCTGGCACATTTTGATTGGATACCAAAAATAAAACTATAGTGTGGGTGGAAAGTAACTCTGAATGGATCAAGACTTGCATCAGTCTCTGTATGTAATTACAGAGCATAATTGCAGGTCAATGAGATTTCTAATAGTAATTAATGCAACAATGTTTCAAGTTGCAACTTCCAGTGGTATCCCCTATTTCATTTCATTTTCATTTTATATGGAAATGAGCTGGCATGCCTTGTGACGGGGTCTTTCTTTGCATTGCCTGAGTTATTGGGCAATTACTATACACTAGCTGGATATTTTGCAAACAAAGATGATTACCTGGGTTTGCTCGCCTACCATAGTTGAGTGTTTATATGCTTTGTCTGTGCAAATATAATTTGATATAAGCTGTATATATATCATATGACATTCTCCTGACAGATTTAATCTTAGAATCGATGATAAAATGATGGACGGTATAAATACCGGTATAAATATACTGTAACTGGTGTATACAGGTTATAATTATGAAATTTGCTCACAAAAGTGGGATAGTTTGGAAAATATATTTAATTTAATTATATATTTGTAATGCTAATTATCCCAGTATTATGTTTTCGATAGCCAGCATGCCACCCTGAGGATTACGATTACCATTGATAAGTGTATGGATATATTTGACAAGATAATATAGGGAAAATTAAATATTCATCAATACTACTGTGCAACCTTTCTTAAAGGAGTACTGTATTAATATTAGTTGAAAGGCAGGCAAAAGGGGACAGATAGAAGACATATGATTAAATTATGTCATGTTTATCATTGTACAGTTTGGTATTGGTTTATTTAACAAACAATTTCAAATTAAGATAGCTTCATTAAATTAATTTACACACAGTCTCTATTGATTTAAAACGTGTGTGTACCTAGTCATTTATTTATATACTTTTAAACCCAGTGTTTGTTGTGTGTTAGTTTACTGGTTTCCTCGCCACAAGGCAATATTCTCAGTATTCAGAGTGTGGGCTATTCACCATGCAGTTCATCTGCAAGGCAGCTAGCCTAGGGGCAAATGAAATTGACCAACTGATGCCAACCACACTGTCCATGCAGAGTAAGATTAGCAGCATAAGACAGAGTTGCATATATTTACCCAGTAAAGCACAAAATACCTTTAATCTTTATGCACCATATGTTATTTTACTTTAAATTCTAATGCTAGAAGATTTTACTCATGGAACATTGAATGTCAACATTGGAAATTAATAGGGGAAGGTGGTTCATAAACAACATAATAACACTGTCTTCTGCGTCCAGCAACGCAACTAGTGGAGCACACTGTATACACCTTTGTTACACAGTATGTGTGTATTTCCGTTGTCGTGGTTTTCTGCCGAAATGTTTTTCAATAGAAAAGTTAAGGCTACAAGAAGCACAGTACTGACTATTTTTTAATAGAGACATATTGCCACTGCTGTTATTACACTTGTACAAGCAAAAAAAATTTTCTTATGTGGAGAAATTATGTTTTTTTTGCGATATAGTTTCAAGTTTTTTACGTGTTTTTCCAAAAATGCAGCAAAATTTTTGTGACTCTGATATAGGAATTGCAACAAAAGAGTTCGCTCAGAACGCAGGAAATCGCATTTCCGAGGTCCTAGATTTCAAAGGTTCCTCACTCTGAAAACAAGGTTCCTCACTCTGAGAACAAGGTTCCTTACTCTGAGAACAAGGTTGCTCACTCTGAGGACAAGGTTCCTCACCCTGAAGGCAAGGTTCCTCACACTGAGGACAAGTTTCTTCACTCTGAGCACAAGGTTCTTCACTCTGAGGACAAGGTTCCACGCTCTGAGGACAAGGTTCCGTCCTCTGAAGGCAGGTTCCTCAGACTGAGGACAAGGTTCCTCGCTCTGAGGACAAGGTTCCTCACTCTAAAGTCAGGTTCCTCACCCTGAGGACAAGGTTCCTCACTCTGAGGACAAGGTTCGTCACACTGAGGACAAGGTTCCGCAATCTGAGAAGAAGGTTCCTCACTCTGAGGACAAGGTTCCTCACTCTGAGGACGAGGTCTTTTGTATGCATCAGTCAGCTCAGGAGCTGGATCCGCCCCTGGGTTCATCACACAGAGGACAAGGTTCCTCACTCTGAGAACAAGGTTCCTCACACTGAGGACAAGGTTCCTCACAGTAAGAACAAGGTTCCTCACTCTGAAAACAAGGTTCCTCATTCTCAGAACAAGGTTCCTTACTCTGAGAACAAGGTTTCCACAATCTGAGGACAGGGTTCCTCGCACTGAGGACATGGTTCCTGACATTGAGAACAAGGTTCCTCACATTGAGAACAAGGTTGCTTATTCTGAGGACAAGGTTTGTCACTCTGAAGGCAAGGTTCCTCACACTGAAGACAAGTTTCTTCACTCTGAGGACAAGGTTCTTCACTCTGAGGACAAGGTTCTTCGCTCTGAGGACAAGGTTCCGTCCTCTGAAGGCAGGTTCCTCAGACTGAGGACAAGGTTCCTCGCTCTGACGACAAGGTTCCTCACTCTAAAGTCAGGTTGCTCACCCTGAGGACAAGGTTCCTCACTCTGAGGACAAGGTTCGTCACACTGAGGACAAGCTTCCGCACTCTGAGAAGAAGGTTCCTCACTCTGAGGACAAGGTTCCTCACTCTGAGGAAAAGGTTCTTCACTCTGAGGAAGAGGTTCCTCACACTGAGGACAAGGTACCTCACTCTGAGGACGAGGTTCCTCACACTGAGGACAAGATTCCTCACTCTGAGGACAACGTTCCTCACTCTGAGGACAAGGTTCGTCAATCTGAGGAAAAGGTTCCTCACACTGAGGACAAGGTACCTCATTCTGAGGACGAGGTTCCTCACACTGAGGACAAGATTCCTCACTCTGAGGACAAGGTTCCTCACTCTGAGGACAAGGTTCTTCACTCTGAGGAGAAGGTTCCTCGCTCTGAGGAAAAGATTCCGCAGTCTGAAGGCAGGTTCCTCACACTGAGGACAAGTTTCCTCGTTCTGAGAACAAGTTTCCTCACTCTGGGGACAAGGTTCCTCACACTGAGGACAACGTTCCTCACTCTGAAGACAAGGTACCTCACTCTGAGGACGAGGTTCCTCACACTGAGGACAAGGTTCCTCACACTAAGGTCAAGGTTCCTCTCTCTGAAAACAAGGTTCCTCACTCAGAGAACAAGGTTCCTCACTCTGAGTACAAGGGTTCCTCAATCTAAGTACAAGGTTCCTCACACTGAGGACATGGTCCCTCATACTGAGAACAAGGTTCCTCACTCTGAGAACAAGGTTCCTCACTCTGAGGACAAGGTTACTCACTCTGAGGGCAAGGTTCCTCACACTGAAGACAAGTTTCCTCACTCTGAGGACAAGGATCTTCACTCTGAGGACAAGGTCCTCACTCGGAGGACAAGATACTCACTCTGAGGTCAAGGTTCCGCCCTCTGAAGGCACGTTCCTCAGACTGAGAACAAGGTTCCTCACTCTGAGGACAAGGTTTCTCACTCTGAGGAGGAGGTTCCTCACTCTGAGAAGAAGCTTCATGACTCTGAGGACAAGGTTCCTCATTATGACGACAAGGTTACTCACCATGAGGAAATGGTTCCTCACACTGAGGACAAGGCTCCTCACTCTGAGGACAAGGTTCCTCACTCTGAGGACAAGGTTCTTCACTCTGAGGACAAGGTTCCTCACCCTGAGGACAAGGGTCCGCCTTCTGAAGGCAGGTTCCTCACACTGAGGACAAGATTCCAGATTCTGAGGACTAGGCTCCTCATTCTGAGGACAAGTTTCCACACACTGAGGACAGGGTTCCTCACTCTGAGGACAAGGTTTCTCATTCTGAGGACAAGGTTCCTCACACAGAGGACAATGTTCCTCACTGTGAGCACAAGGTTCTTCACACTGGGCACAAGGGTCCGCACTCTGACAACAAGGTTCCTCACTCTGAGGACAAGGTTCCTCACTCGGAGGACAAGGTTCCTCACACTGAGGACAAGCCTCCTCACTCTGAGGACAAGGCTCCTCACTCTGAGGACAAGGTTCCTCACAATGAGGACAAGTTTCCTCGTTCTGAGGACAAGTTTCCTCACTCTGAGGACAAGGTTGCTCACACTGAGGACAAGGTTCCTAACTCTGAAGACAAGGTACCTCACTCTGAGGACGATGTTCCTCACTCTTAGGACAAGGTTCTTCTCACGGAGGACTAGGTCCCTCACTCTGAAGACAAGGTTCCTCACACTGAGGACAAGGTTCCTGACTCTGAGGACAAGGCTCCTCACTCTGAAGGCAGATTGCTCACACTGAGAACAAGGTTCCTCAATCTGAGGATAAGAGTCCTCAGTCTGAGGGCAAGCTTCCTCACACTGAAAACAAGGTTCGTCTCCCTGAGGACAAGGCTCCTTACTCTGAGGAAAAGGTTCTTCACACTGAGGACAAGGGTCCGCACTCTGACAACAAGGTTCCTCACTCTGAGGACAAGGTTCCTCACTCTGAGGACAAGGTTCCTCAGTCTGAGAAAAACGTTCCTCACACTGAGGACAAGGCTCCTCACTCTGAGGACAAGGCTCCTCACTCTGAGGACAAGGTTCCTCACTCTGAGGAGAAGGTTCCTCGTTATGAGAACAAGGTTCCTCACTCTGAGGACAAGGTGCATCACACTGAGGACAAGGTTCCTCACTCTGAGGACAAGGTTCTTCACACTGAGGACAACGTTACACACTTTGAGAACAAGATTCCTCACTCTGAGGACAAGGTTCCTCAATCTGAGGCCAAGATTCTTCACACTGAGGACAAGTTTCCTCACTCTGAGGACAAGGATCTTCACTCTGAGGACAAGGTCCTCACTCTGAGGACAAGGTCCTCACTCTGAGGACAAGGTCCTCACTCTGAGGACAAGGTCCGCCCTCTGAAGGCAGGTTCCTCACACTGAGAACAGTTTCCTCGTTCTGAGGACAAGTTTCCTCACCCTGAGGACAAGGTTCCTCACACTGAGGACAAGGTTCCTCACACTGAGGACAAGGTTCCTCACACTAAGGACAAGGTTCTTCTCTCTGAAAACAAGGTTCCTCACTCTGAGAACAAGGTTCCTCACTCTGAGAACAAGGGTTCCTCAATCTAAGTACAAGGTTCCTCACACTGAGGACATGGTCCCTCACACTGAGAACAAGGTTCCTCACTCTGAGGGCAAGGTTCCTCACACTGAAGACAAGTTTCCTCGCTCTGAGGACAAGGATCTTCACTCTGAGGACAAGATCCTCACTCTGAGAACAAGGTCCTCACTCTGAGAACAAAGGGTCCGCCTCTGAAGGTAGGTTCCTCACACTGAGGACAAGTTTCCTCCTTCTGAGGACAAGTTACCTCACCCTGAGGGCAAGGTTCCTCACACTGAGGAGAAGGTTCCTCACTCTGAGGTCAAGGTACCTCACTCTGAGGACAAGGTTCCACACACTGAGGCCAAGGCTCCTCACACTAAGAAGAAGGTTTCTCACACTGAAAACAGGGTTCCTCACCCTGAGAACAAGGTTCCTCACTCTGAGAACAAGGGTTCCTCAATCTGAGGACAAGTTTCCTCACACTGAGGACATGGTTCCTCACACTGAAAACAAGGTTCCTCACTCTGAGAACAAGGTTCCTCACTCTGAGAACAAGGTTCCTCACTCTGAGAACAAGGGTTCCTCAATCTGAGGACAAGTTTCCTCACACTGAGGACAAGGATCTTCACTCTGAGTACAAGGTTCCTCACTCTGAGAACAAGCTTCCTCACTCTCAGGACATTTTTCCGCCCTCTGAAGCAGGTTCCTGAGACTAAGAACAAGGTTCCTCGCTCTGAGGACAAGGCTCCTCACTCTGAGCACAAGGTTCCTCACACTAAAGACAACATTCCTCACTCTGAGAACAAGGTTCCTCACTCTGAGGACAAGGTTTCTCACTCCGAGGACAATGTTCCTCACTCTGAAGTCAGGTTCCTCACTCTGAGGACAAGGTTCCTCACTCTGAGTACAAGGTTCTTCACACTGAGGACAAGGATCCGCACTCTGACAACAAGGTTCCTCACTCTGAGGACAAGGTTCCTCACTCGACGACAAGGTTCCTTACTCTGAGGAAAAGGTTCCTCACACAGAGGACAAGGGTCCTCACTCTGAGGGCAAGGTTCCTCACCATGAGGACGACGGTCTTCACTCTGAGGATAAGGTTCCGCACTCTGAAGGCAGGTTCCGCACTCTGAAGGCAGGTTCCTCACACTGAGGACGAGGTTCCTCACACTGAGGACAAGGTTCCTCACACTAAAGACAAGGTTCCTCACTCTGAGGACAAGGTTCCTCACACTAAAGACAAGGTTCCTCACTCTGAGAAAAAGGGTTCCTCACTCTGAGGACAAGGTTTCTCACTCTGAGGACAAGGTTCCTCACTCTGAAGTCTGGTTCCTCACTCTGAGGACAAGGTTCCTCACTCTGCGGACAACGTTCTTCACACTGAGGACAAGGTTCCGCACTCTGACAACAAGGTTCCTAACTTTGAGTTCAAGTTTCCTCACTCTGAGAAAAACGTTCCTCACACTGAGGACAATGCTCCTTACTCTGAGGACAAGGCTCCCCACTCTGAGGGCAAGGTTCTTCATTCCGAGGAGAAGGTTCCTCACTCTGAGGAGAAGGTTCCTCACACTGAGGACAAAGTTCCTCACTATGAGAACAAGGTTGCTCACTCTCAGGACAAGGTTCCTCACTGTGAGGACAAGGTTCCTCACTCTGAAGGCAGATTCCTCACACTGAGAACAAGATTCCTCACTCTGAGTACAAGGTTCCTCACTCTGAGGACAAAGATCCTCACTCAGAGAACAAGGTCCCCTACTCTGATGACAAGGTTTCTCACTCTGAGGACAAGGCTCCTCGCTCTGAGGACAAGATTCCTCACTCTGAGAACAAGGGTCCTCACTCTGAGGACAATGTTGTTCACTCTGAGGACAAGTTTTCTCACTCTGAGGACAAGGTTCCTCAATCTGAAGGCAGGTTCGTCACACTGAGAACAAGGTTCCTCACTCTGAGGACAACGTTCCTCACTCTGAGAACAAGGTTGTTCACACTGAGGACTAGGTTCCTCACTCTGAAGACAAGGTTCGTCACACTGAGGACAAGGATCCTCACTCTGAGGACAAGGTTCCTCACTCTGAAGGCAGATTCCTGACACTGAGAACAAGGTTCCTCAATCTGAGGATAAGAGTCCTCAGTCTGAGGACAAGCTTCCGCACACTGAGGACAAGGTTTGTCTCTCTGAGGACAAGGTTCTTCACACTGAGGACAAGGTCCGCACTCTGACAACAAGGTTCCTCGCTCTGAGGACAAGGTTCCTCACTCTGAGGAGAAGGTTCCTCAGTCTGAAGAAAACGTTCCTAACACTGAGGACAAGGCTGCTCACTCTGAGGACAAGGCTCCTCATTCTGAAGACAAGTTCCTCACTCTGAGGAGAAGATTCCTCACTGTGAGGACAAGTTTCCTCACTCTGAAAGCAGGTTCCTAACTCTGAGGACAAGGTGATTCACACTGAGGACAACGTTCCTCACCCTGAGAAGGAGGTTCCTCATTGTGAGAACAAGGTTCCTCACTCTGAGAACAAGGTTCCTCACACTGAGGACAAGGTTCCTCACTCTGAGGACAAGCTTCTTCACACTGAGGACAAGGTTACTCACTTTGAGAACAAGGTTCCTCACTCTGACGACAAGGTTCCTCAATCTGAGGGCAAGGTTCCTCACACTGAGGACAAGTTTCCTCACTCTGAGGACAAGGATCCTCACTCTGAAGACAAGGTCCTCACTCTGAGGACAAGGTTCCGCCCTCTGAAGGCAGGTACCTCTGACTGAGGACAAGGTTCCTCGCTCTGAGGACAAGGTTGCTAACTCTAAGGACAAGGTTTCTCACACTAAAGACAAGGTTCATCACTCTGAGAACAAGGTTCCTCACTCTGAGGACAAGGTTACTCACTCTGAGGACAAGGTTCCTCATTCTGAAGTCAGGTTCCTCACTCTGAGGACAAGGTTCCTTACTCAGAGGACAAGGTTCTTCACACTGAGGACAAGGTTCCGCTCTCTGAGAAGAAGGTTCATGACTCTGAGGACAAGGTTCCTCACTCTGAGGACCAGGCTCCTAACTCTGAGGACAAGGTTCCTCACTCTGAGAAGAAGGTTCCTCACTGTGAGGATAAAGTTCCTCAAACTGAGGACAAGTTTCCTGACTCTGAGGACAAGGTTCCACACTCTGAAGTCAGGTTCCTCACTCTAAGTACGAGGTTCCTCACTCTGAGGACAAGGTTCTTCACACTGAGGAGAAGGTTCCGAACGCTGAGAAGAAGGTTCATGACACTGAGAACAAGGTTCCTCACTCTGAGGACAAGGTTTCTCACTCTGAGGACGAGGTTCCTCACTCTGAAGTCATGTTCCTCACTCTGAGGACAAGGTTTCTCACTCTGAGGAAAAGCCTCTTCACACTCAGGACAAGGTTCCGCACTCTGAGAAGAAGGTTCATGACTCTGAGGACAAGGTTCCTCACTCTGAGGACAAGGTTCCCCACCCTGAAGAAAAGGTTCCTCACACTGAGGACAAGGCTCCTCACACTGAGAAAAAGGTTCCTCACACTGAGGACAAGGTTCTTCATTCTGAGGACAAGGTTCCTCATTCTGAGGACAAGGTTCCTCACTCGGAGGACAATGTTCCTCACTCTGAGGTCAGATTCCTCACTCTGAAGACAAGGTTCCTCACTCTGAGGACAAGGTTCTTCACACTGAGGTCAAGGGTCCACACTCTGACATGAAGGTTCCTCACTCTGAGGACAAGGTTCCTCACTCTCAGGAAAACGTTCCTCACACTGACGACAAGGCTTCTTTCACTGAGGACAAGGCACCTCACTCTGAGGACAAGGTTCCTCAATCTGAGGGGAAGGTTTCTCACTCTGAGGATAAGGTTTCTCACTCAGAAAACAAAGTACCTCACTCTGAAGACGAGGTTCCTCACACTGAGGACAAGGTTCCTCACGGTAACGACAAGGTTCCTCACTCCGACAACAAGGTTCCTCACTCTGAGAACAAGGTTCCTCACTCTGAGAACAAGGGTTCCTCAATCTGAGACAATGTTCCTCACACTGAGGAGATGGTTCTTCACACTGAGAACAAGTTTCCTCACTCTGAGAACGAGGTTCCTCATTCTGAGGACAAAGTTCCTCACTCTGAGGGCAAGGTTCCTCACACTGAGGACAAGTTTCCACACTCTGAGTACAAGGATCTTCACTCTGAGGACAAGGTCCTCAGTCTTAGGACAAGGTCCTCACTCTGAGGACAAGGTTCCGCTCTCTGAAGGCAGTTTCCTCAGACAGAGGACAAGGTTCCTCGCACTGAGGACAAGGTTCCTCACTCTGAGGACAAGGTTCCTCACACTAAAGACAAGGTTCCTCACTCTGAGAACAAGGTTCCTCACTTTGAGGACAAGGTTTCTCAATCTGAGGGCAAGGTTCCTCACTCTAAAATCAGGTTAAAAAAGGTTCTTCACTCTGAGGACAAGGTTCCTCACTCTGAGGACAAGATTCCTCACTCTCAGGAAAACGTTCCAAACACTGAGGACAAGGCTCCTCTCTGTGAGGACAAGGCGCCTCACTCTGAGGACAAGGTTCCTCACTGTGAAGAAGGTTCCTCACTCTGTGGATAAGGTTCCTCACACTGAGGACAAGGTTCCTGACTCTGAGGACAACGTTCCACACTCTGAAGTCAGGTTCCTCACTCTGAGGACAAGGTGCCTCACTCTGAGGACAAGGTTCTTCACACTAAGGACAAGGTTCCGCGCTCTGAGAAGAAGGTTCATGACTCTGAGGACAAGGTTCCTCACTCTGAGGACAAGGTTTCTCACTCTGAAGACAAGGTTCCTCACTCTGAAGTCAGGTTCCTCACTCTGAGGACAAGGTTCCTCACTCTGAGGACAAGGTTCTTCACACTGAGGACAAGGTTCCGGACTCGGAGAAGAAGGTTCATGACTCTGAGGACAAGGTGCCTCACACTGAGGACAAGGTTCTTCACTCTGAGGACAAGGTTCCTCACTCTGAGGACAAGGTTCCTCATTCTGAGGACAAGGTTCCTCACTCTGAGGACAATGTTCCTCACTCTGAAGTCAGGTTCCTCACTCTGAAGACAAGGTTGCTCACTCTGAGGAAAAGGTTCTTCACACTGAGGAAAATGATCCACACTCTGACAAGAAGGTTCCTCACTCTGAGGACAAGGTTCTTCACTCCGAAGACAAGGTTCCTCACTTCGAGGACAAGGTTCCTCACTCTCAGGAAAAAGGTTCCTCACACTAACGACAAGGCTCCTGTCACCGAGGACAATGTACCTCACTCTGAGGACAAGGTTCCTCAATCTGAGGAGAAGGTTCTTCATTCTGAGGATAAGGTTCTTCACTCGGAGAACAAGGTACCTCACTCTGAAGACGAGGTTCCTCATCCTGAGGACAAGGTTCCTCACACTAAGGACAAGGTTGCTCACTCTCACAACAAGGTTCCTCACTCTGAGAACAAGGTTCCTCACTCTGAGAACAAGGGTTCCTCAATCTGAGGACAAGGTTCCTCACTCTGAGGGCAAGGTTCCTCACACTGAGGACAAGTTTCCTCACTCAGAGGACAAGGATCTTCACTCTGAGGACAAGGTCCTCACTCGGAGGACAAGGTACTCACTCTGAGGACAAGGTTCCGCCCTCTGAAGTCAGGTTACTCAGACTGAGGACAAGTTTCCTCGCTCTGAGGACAAGGCTCCTCACTCTGAGGACAAGGTTCCTCACACTAAAGACAAGGTTCCTCACACTAAAGACAAGGTTCCTCACTCTGAGAACAGGGTTCCTCACTCTGAGGACAAGGATTCTCACTCTGAGGACAAGGGTCCTCACTGTGAAATCAGGTTCCTCACTCTGACGACAAGGTTCCTCACTCTGAGGACAAGATTCTTTACACTGAGGTCAAGGTTCCGTACTCTGAGAAGAAGGTTCATGACTCTGAGGACAAGGTTCCTCACTCTGCCGACAAGGTTCCTCACTCTTAGGAAAAGGTTCCTCACTCTGAGGACAAGGTTCAGCACTCTGAAGGCAGGTTCCTCACACTGAGGACAAGTTTCCTCGTCCTGAGGACAAGTTTCCTCACTCTGAGGACAAGGTTCCTCACACTGAGAACAAGGTTCCTCACTCTGAGGACAATGTACCTCACTCTGAGGACGAGGTTCCTCACACTGAGGACAAGGTTCCTCACATTAAGGACAAGGTTCCTCACTCTGAGAACAAGGTACCCCACTCTGAGGACAAGGATTCTCACTCTGAGGACAAGGGTCCTCACCCTGAAGTCAGGTTCCTCACTCTGAGGACAAGGTTCCTCACTCTGAGGACAAGGTTCTTCACACTGAGGTCAAGGTTCCGTACTCTGAGAAGAGGTTCATGACTCTGAGGACAAGGTTCCTCACTCTGACGACAAGGTTCCTCACTCTGAGGAAAAGGTTCATCACTCTGAGGACAAGGTTCAGCACTCTGAAGGCTGGTTCCTCACACTGAGGACAAGTTTCCTCGTCCTGACGACAAGTTTCCTCACTCTGAGGATAAGGTTCCTCACACTGAGGACAAAGTTCCTCACTCTGAAGACAATGTACCTCACTCTGAGGACGAGGTTCCTCACACTGAGGACAAGGTTCCTCACACTATGGACAAGGTTCCTCACTCTGAAAACAAGGTTCCTCACTCTGAGAACAAGGTTCCTCACTCTGAGGACAAGGTTCCTCACTCTGAGGGCAAGGTTCCTCACACTGAGGACAAGTTTCCTCACTCAGAGGACAAGGATCTTCACTCTGAGGACAAGGTCCTCACTCGGAGGACAAGGTACTCACTCGGAGGACAAGGTTCCGCCCTCTGAAGGCAGGTTACTCAGACTGAGGACAAGGCTCCTCACTCTGAGGACAAAGTTCCTCACACTAAAGACAAGGTTCCTCACACTAAAGACAAGGTTCCTCACTCTGAGAACAAGGTTCCTCACTCTGAGGACAAGGATTCTCACTCTGAGGACAAGGGTCCTCACTCTGAAGTCAGGTTCCTCACTCTGAGGACAAGGTTCCTCACTCTGAGGACAAGGTTCTTTACACTGAGGTCAAGGTTCCGTACTCTGAGAAGAAGGTTCATGACTCTGAGGACAAGGTTCCTCACTCTGCCGACAAGGTTCCTCACTCTGAGGAAAAGGTTCCTCACTCTGAGGACAAGGTTCAGCACTCTGAAGGCAGGTTCCTCACACTGAGGACAAGTTTCCTCGTCCTGAGGACAAGTTTCCTTACTCTGAGGAGAAGGTTCCTCACACTGAGAACAAGGTTCCTCACTCTGAGGACAATGTACCTCACTCTGAGGACGAGGTTCCTCACACTGAGGACAAGGTTCCTCACACTAAGGACAAGTTTCCTCACTCTGAGGATAAGGTTCCTCACACTGAGGACAAAGTTCCTCACTCTGAGGACAATGTACCTCACTCTGAGGACGAGGTTCCTCACACTGAGGACAAGGTTCCTCACACTAAGGACAAGGTTCCTCACTCTGAAAACAAGGTTCCTCACTCTGAGAACAAGGTTCCTCACTCTGAGAACAAGGGTTCCTCAATCTGAGGACAAGGTTCCTCGCACTGAGGACAAGGTTCCTCGCACTGAGGACATGGTTCCTCACAGTGAGAACAAGGTTCCTCACGCTGAGAACAAACTTCCTCACTCTGATGACAAGTTTCCGCCCTCTGAAGGCAGGTTCCTCAGACTGAGGACAAGGTTCCTCACTCTGAGAACAAGGTTCCTCACTCTGAGGACAAGGTTTCTCACTCTGAGGACAAGGTTCCTCACTCTGAAGTCAGGTTCATAACTCTGAGGACAAGGTTCCTCACTCTAAGGACAATGTTCTTCACACTGAGGACAAGGTTACGCACTCTGACAAGAAGGTTCATGACTCTGAGGACAAGGTTCCTAACTCTGAGGACAAGGTTCCTCACTCTGAAGAAAAGGTTCCTCACACTGAGGACAAGGCTCCTCACCCTGAGGACAAGATTCCTCACACTGAGGACAAGGTTCTTCACTCTGATGACGAGGTTCCTCACTCTGAGGGCAATGTTGCTCACTCTGAAGTCAGGTTCCTCACTCTGAAGACAACATTCCTCACTGTGAGCACAAGGTTCTTCACACTGAGTACAATGGTCCACCCTCTGGCAAGAAGGTTCCTCACTCTGAGGACAAGGTTCCTCACTCTCAGGAAAACGTTCCTCACACTGAGCCAAGGCTCCTCTCTCTGAGTACAAGGTTCCTGACTTTGAGGACAAGCTTCCTCACTCAGAGGAGAAGGTTCCTCACTCTGAGGATAAGGTTCCGCACTCTGAGAAGAAGGTCATGGCTCTGAGGACAAGGTTCCTCACTCTGAGGACAACGTTTCTCACTCTGAGGACAAGGTTCCTCACTCTGAAGTCAGGTACCTCACTCTGAGGACAAGGTTCCTCACTCTGAGGACAAGGTTCTTCACCCTAAGGACAAGGTTCCTCACTCCGAAAACAAGGTTCCTCACACTGAGGACAAGGTTGCTCAATCTGAGGACAAGGTTGCTCACTCTGAGGACAAGGTTCCTCACTGTGAGGACAAGGTTCCCCACCCTGAGGACAAGGTTCCTCACTCTGAAGAAAAGGTTCGTCACACTGAGGACAATGCTCCTCACTCTGAGGACAAGGTTCCTCACACTGAGGACAAGGTTCTTCACTCTGAGGACGACGTTCCACACTCTGAGGACAATGTTCCACACTCTGAAGTCAGGTTCCTCACTCTGAAGACAATGTTCCTCACTGTGAGGACAAGGTTCTTCGCACTGAGGACAAGGGTCCACCCTCTGACAAGAAGGTTGCTCGCTCTGAGGACAAGGTACCTCACATTGAGGACAAGGTTCTTCACTCTGAGGACGAGGTTCCTCACTCTGAGGACAAGGTTCCTCATTCTGAGGACAAGGTTCCTCACTCTGAGGACAATGTTCCTTACTCTGAAGTCAGGTTCCTCTCTCTGAAGACAATGTTCCTCACTGTGAGGACAAGGTTCTTCACACTGAGGACAAGGGTCCACACTCTAACAAGAAGGTTCCTCACTCTGAGGACAAGGTTCCTCACTCTGAGGACAAGGTTCCTCACTCTTAGGAAAAAGGTCCTCACACTGAGGACAAGGCTCCTCTCTCTGAGGACAAGGCTCCTCACTCTGAGGACAAGGTTCCTCACTCTGAGAAGAAGGTTCCTCACTCTGAGGATAAGGTTCCTCACACTGAGGACAAGGCTCCTGACTCTGAGGACAAAGTTCCACACTCTGAAGTCAGGTTCCTCACTCTGAGGACAACGTTGCTCACTCGGAGGACAAAGTTTCTCACTCTGAGGACAAGGTTCTTCACACTGAGGACAAGGTTCCTCACTCTGAAGGCAGGTTCCTCACTCTGAGCACAAGGTTTATTTTTCTGAGGACAAGGTTCCTCACTCTGAGGACAAGGTTCCTCACACTGCGGACAAGGTTCCCCATTCTAAGGACAAGGTTCCTCACTCTGACGACAAGGTTCCTCTCTCTCTGAGAACAAGGTCGTCACTCCGTGGACAAGGTTCCTCACTCTGAAAGCAGGTTCTTCACTCTGAGGACAAGGTTCGTCACACTGAGGAGAAGGTTTGTTACTCCGAGGAAAAAGTTCCTCACTCTGAGGACAAGGTTCCTCACTCTGAGAACAAGGTTCCTCTCTCTGAGGACAAGGTTCCTCAAGCTGAGGACAAAGTTACTCACTCTGAGGACAAGGTTCCTCACTCTGAGGACAAAGTTCCGCACTCTGAGGACAAGGTTGCTCGCCCTGAAGGCAGGTTCCTCACTCTAAGGAGAAGGTTCCTCACTCTGAGGATAAAGTTTCTTACTTTGAGAACAAGGTTCCTCACTCTGAAGACATAGCTCCTCACTCTGAGGACAACGTTCGACACTCTCAAGACATAGGCACCTCATTCTCAGGACAAGGTTCCTCACTCGGAAGACAAGGTTCCTCCGTGTTAAGGCAGGTTCCTCACACTAAGGACAAGGTTCCTGATTCTGAGGACAAGGTTCATCACTCTGAAGGCATGTACCACACTCTAAGGACAAAGTTCCTCACTCTGAGGACAAGTTTCCACACTCTAAGGACAAGGTTCCTCACTCTGAGGACAAGGTTCCTCATTCTGAGGACAAGGTTGCTCACTCTGAGGACAAGGTTCCTCGCTCTGAGGACAAGATTCCTCACTCTGACGACAAGCTTCCTTACCCTGAAGACAAGGGTCCTCACACTGAGGACAAGGTTCCTCACTCTGAAGACAAGGTTCTTCACACTGAGGACAAGGTTCCTCACACTGAGGACAAGGTTCCTCATTCTGAGAACAAGGTTTGTCTGTCTGAGGACAAGGTTCCTCACTCTGAGGAGAAGGTGCTTCACACTGAGGACAAAGTTCCTCACTCTTAGAACACTAAGGAACCTTCTCCTCAGAGTGAGAACCTTGTCCTCAGAGTGAGGAAGCTTGTTGTCAGAATGAGGAACCTTGTCCTCAGAGTGAGGAACCTGCCTTCAGAGTGAGAAACCTTGTCCTCAGAATGCGGAACCTAGTCATCAGAGTGAGGAACCGTTTCCTCAGAGTGAGGAACCTTGTCCTCAGAGTGAGGAATCTTGCCTCAGAATGTGGAACCTTGTTCTCAGAGTGACGAACTTTGTCCTCATAGTGAAGAACCTTGTCCACAGAGAGAGGAACCTGCCTTCAGAGTGAGGAACCTTGTCCTCAGATTGAGGAAACTTGTCTCCAGACAGAAAAACCTTGTCCTCAAGGTGAGAAACCTTGTCCTCAGAGAGAGCAACCTTGTCCTCAGACTGAGCAACCTTGTCCTCAGTGTGAGGAACCTTGTCCTCAGTGTGAGGAACCTTGTTCTCAGGGTCATTAACCTTCTTCTCAGAATGCGGAACCTTGTGCTCAGTGTGAAGAACCCTTGTTCTCAGAGTGAGGAACCTTGTTCTCAGAGTGAGGAGCCTTGTCCTCAGAGGGAAGAGCCTTGTCCTCAGTGTGAGGAACGTTTTCTTCAGTGTGAGGAACCTTGTCCTCAGTGTGAGGAACCTTGTCCTCAGTGTGAGGAACTTGTCCTCAGCGTGAGGAACCTTGTCTTCAGAGTGAGGAACCTTGTCCTCAGGGTGAGGACCCTTGTCTTCAGAGTAAGGAACCTTGTCCTCAGAGTGAGGAATCTTGTCCTCAGAGTGAGGAACCTTGTCCTCAGAGTGAGGAACCTTTTCTCGGAGTAAGAAACCTTCTCGTCAGTGTGAGGAACCTGCCTTCAGAGTGAAAAACCTTGTCCTCAGAGTGAGCAACCTTGTTCTCTGAGTGAGCAACCTTGTACTCGAGTGAGCAACCTTGTCCTCAGAGTGAAGAACCTGCCTTCTGAGTGAGGAAACTTGTCCTCAGAGTAAGGAACCTTGTCCTCAGAATGACGAACCTTGTCCTCAGTGTGAGGAATCTTGTCCTCAGAGTAAGGATCCTTGTCCTCAGATTAAAAACATTGTCCTCGATGTGAAAAACATGTCTTCAGAGTGAGCATCCTTGTCCTCAGAGTGAGGAACCTTGTCCTCAGTGTGAGGAAACTTCTCCTCAGTGTGAAGAACCTTGTCCTCAGAGTGAGGTACCTTGTCCCCTTTAGTGAGGAACCTTGTCCGCAGAGTGAGGAAACTTGTGTTCAGAGTGAGGAACTTGCCTTCAGTGTGAGGAACCTTGTCCTCACTGTGAGGAATCTTGTCCTCAGAGTGAGGATCCTTGTCCTCAGATTAAAAACATTGTCCTCGATGTGAGGAACCTGTCTTCAGAGTGAGCATCCTTGTCCTCAGAGTGAGGAACCTTGTCCTCAGTGTGAGGAAACTTGTCCTCAGTGTGAAGAACCTTGTCCTCAGAGTGAGGTACCTTGTCCCCATACTGAGGAACCTTGTCCTCAGAGTGAGGAATCTTGTGTTCAGAGTGAGGAACTTGCCTTCAGAGTGAGGAACCTTGTCCTCAGAGTGAGAAAGCTTATCCTCACAGAGAGTAACCTTGTCCACCGGGTGAGGAACCTTGTCCTCAGTGTGAGGAGCCTTGTCCTCAGAGTTAGGAACCTTGTCCTCATGGTGAGGAACCTTGTCCTCAGAGTTAGGAACCTTGTCCTAAGAGTGAGGAACCTTGTCCTCAGTGTGGGGAACCTTGTCCCAAGAGTGAGGAACCTTGTCCTCAGTGTGAGGACCCTTGTCTTCAGAGTGAGAAACCTTGTCCTCAGAGTTAGGAACCTTCTCCTCTGTGTGAGGAACGTTGTTCTCAAAGTGAGGAACGTTCTCCTCAGTGTGAGGAATCTTGTCCCCATAGTGAGGAACCTTGTCCTCAGAGTGAGGAACCTTGTCTTCAGAGTGAGGAATCTTGTCCTCAGAGTGAGGAACCTTGTCCTCATGGTGAGGAACCTTGTCCTCAGAGTTAGGAACCTTGTCCTTAGAGTGAGGAACCTTGTCCTCAGTTTGAGGAACCTTGTCCCAAGAGTGAGGAACCTTGTCCTCAGTGTGAGGACCCTTGTCTTCAGGGTGAGAAACCTTGTCCTCAGAGTTAGGAACCTTCTCCTCTGTGTGAGGAACGTTGTCCTCAAAGTGAGGAACGTTCTTCCCAGTGTGAGGAATCTTGTCCCCATAGTGAGGAACCTTCTCCTCAGAGTGAGGAACCTTGTCTTCAGAGTGAGGAATCTTGTCGTCAGAGTAAGGAACCTTGTCCTCAGTGTGAGGAACCTTGTGTTCAGAGTGAGGAACTTGCCTTCAGAGTGACGAACCTTGTCCTCACTGTGAGGAATCTTGTCCTCACTGTGAGGATCCTTGTCCTCAGATTAAAAACATTGTCCTCGATGTGAGGAACCTGTTTTCAGAGTGAGCATCCTTGTCCTCAGAGTGAGGAACCTTGTCCTCAGTGTGAGGAAACTTGTCCTCAGTGTGAAGAACCTTGTCCTCAGAGTGAGGTACCTTGTCCCCATAGTGAGGTGCCTTGTCCTCAGAGTGAGGAACCTTGTGTTCAGAGTGAGGAACTTGCCTTCAGAGTGAGGAACCTTGTCCTCAGAGTGAGAAAGCTTATCCTCACAGAGAGTAACCTTGTCCACCGGGTGAGGAACCTTGTCCTCAGTGTGAGGAGCCTTGTCCTCAGAGTTAGGAACCTTGTCCTCATGGTGAGGAACCTTGTCCTCAGAGTTAGGAACCTTGTCCTAAGAGTGAGGAACCTTGTCCTCAGTGTGGGGAACCTTGTCCCAAGAGTGAGGAACCTTGTCCTCAGTGTGAGGACCCTTGTCTTCAGAGTGAGAAACCTTGTCCTCAGAGTTAGGAACCTTCTCCTCTGTGTGAGGAACGTTGTTCTCAAAGTGAGGAACGTTCTCCTCAGTGTGAGGAATCTTGTCCCCATAGTGAGGAAAATTGTCCTCAGAGTGAGGAACCTTGTCCTCAGTGTGAGGAATCTTGTCCTCAGAGTAAGGATCCTTGTCCTCAGATTAAAAACATTGTCCTCGATGTGAAAAACATGTCTTCAGAGTGAGCATCCTTGTCCTCAGAGTGAGGAACCTTGTCCTCAGTGTGAGGAAACTTGTTCTCAGTGTGAAGAACCATGTCCTCAGATTGAGGTACCTTGTCCCCATAGTGAGGAACCTTGTCCGCAGAGTGAGGAAACTTGTGTTCAGAGTGAGGAACTTGCCTTCAGAGTGACGAACCTTGTCCTCACTGTGAGGAATCTTGTCCTCAGAGTGAGGATCCTTGTCCTCAGATTAAAAACATTGTCCTCGATGTGAGGAACCTGTCTTCAGAGTGAGCATCCTTGTCCTCAGAGTGAGGAACCTTGTCCTCAGTGTGAGGAAACTTGTCCTCAGTGTGAAGAACCTTGTCCTCAGGGTGAGGTACCTTGTCCCCATAGTGAGGAACCTTGTCCTCAGAGTGAGGAACCTTGTGTTCAGAGTGAGGAACTTGCCTTCAGAGTGAGGACCCTTGTCCTCAGAGTGAGAAAGCTTATCCTCACAGAGAGTAACCTTGTCCACCGGGTGAGGAACCTTGTCCTCAGTGTGAGGAGCCTTGTCCTCAGAGTTAGGAACCTCGTCCTCATGGTGAGGAACCTTGTCCTCAGAGTTAGGAACCTTGTCCTAAGAGTGAGGAACCTTGTCCTCAGTGTGGGGAACCTTGTCCAAAGAGTGAGGAACCTTGTCCTCAGTGTGAGGACCCTTGTCTTCAGAGTGAGAAACCTTGTCCTCAGAGTTAGGAACCTTCTCCTGTGTGTGAGGAACGTTGTTCTCAAAGTGAGGAACGTTCTCCTCATTGTGAGGAATCTTGTCCCCATAGTGAGGAACCTTGTTCTCAGAGTGAGGAACCTTGTCTTCAGAGTGAGGAATCTTGTCCCCAGAGTGAGGAACCTTGTCCTCATGGTGAGGAACCTTGTCCTCAGAGTTAGGAACCTTGTCCTCAGAGTGAGGAACCTTGTCCTCAGTGTGAGGAACCTTGTCCCAAGAGTGAGGAACCTTGTCCTCAGTGTGAGGACCCTTGTCTTCAGGGTGAGAAACCTTGTCCTCAGAGTTAGGAACCTTCTCCTCTGTGTGAGGAACGTTGTCCTCAAAGTGAGGAACGTTCTTCCCAGTGTGAGGAATCTTGTCCCCATAGTGAGGAACCTTCTCCTCAGAGTGAGGAACCTTGTCTTCAAAGTGAGGAATCTTGTCGTCTGAGTGAGGAACCTTGTCCTCAGAGTGAGGAACCTTGTCCTCAGTGTGAGGAACGTTGTCCTCTGAGTGAGGAACCTTGTCCTCAGAGTGAGGAGCCTTGTCGTCAGAGTGCGGAACTTTGTTTTCAGCGTGAGGAACCTTGTCCTCAGTGTGAGGAAACTTGTCCTCCGTGTGAAGAACCTTGTCCTCAGAGTGAGGTACCTTGTCCCCATAGTCAGGAACCTTGTCCTCAGAGTGAGGAACCTTGTGTTTAGAGTGAGGAACTTGCCTTCAGAGTGAGGAACCTTGTCCTCAGGGTGAGAAAGCTTATCCTCACAGAGAGGAACCTTGTCCACCGGGTGAGGAACCTTGTCCTCAGTGTGAGGAACCTTGTCCTCAGAGTTAGGAACCTTGTCCTCATGGTGAGGAACCTTGTCCTCAGAGTTAGGAACCTTGTCCTAAGAGTGAGGAACCTTGTCCTCAGTGTGGGGAACCTTGTCCCAAGAGTGAGGAACCTTGTCCTCAGTGTGAGGACCCTTGTCTTCAGAGTGAGAAACCTTGTCCTCAGAGTTAGTAACCTTCTCCTCTGTGTGAGGAACGTTGTTCTCAAAGTGAGGAACGTTCTCCTCAGTGTGAGGAATCTTGTCCCCATAGTGAGGAACCTTGTCCTCAGAGTGAGGAACCTTGTCTTCAGAGTGAGGAATCTTGTCCTGAGAGTGAGGAACCTTGTCCTCATGGTGAGGAACCTTGTCCTCAGAGTTAGGAACCTTGTCCTAAGAGTGAGGAACCTTGTCCTCAGTGTGAGGGACCTTGTCCCAAGAGTGAGGAACCTTGTCCTCAGTGTGAGGACCCTTGTCTTCAGCGTGCGAAACCTTGTCCTCAGAGTTAGGAACCTTCTCCTCTGTGTGAGGAACGTTGTCCTCAAAGTGAGGAACGTTCTTCCCAGTGTGAGGGATCTTGTCCCCATAGTGAGGAACCTTCTCCTCAGAGTGAGGAACCTTGTCTTCAGAGTGAGGAATCTTGTCGTCAGAGTGAGGAACCTTGTCCTCAGAGTGAGGAGCCTTGTCGTCAGAGTGCGGAACTTTGTTTTCAGCGTGAGGAACCTTGTCCTCAGTGTGAGGAACCTTTGTCTCAGAGTGAGGAACCTTGTCCTCAGTGTGAGGAACCTTGTCCTCGGTGTGAAAAACCTGGTCCTCAGACTGAAGAACCTTGTTCTCAGAGTGAGGACCATTGTCCTCAGTGTGAAACACCTTCTTCTCAGAGATAGGAACCTTGTCCTCAGAGTGGGAAAGCTTGTTCTCAGAGTGAGGAACATTGTCCTCAGTGTGAGGAGCCTTCTCTTCAGTGTGAAGAACCTTGTCCTCAGAGAGAGGAAACTTATCCTCAGAGTGAGGAACCTTGTCCTCAGAGTGAGGAACCTTGTCCTCAGTGTGAGGAACCTTGTTCTCAGAGTGAGGAACCTTGTCGTCCGAGTGAGGAACCATGTCCACAGAGTGAGCAACCTTGTCGTCAGTGCGAGGACCCATGTTCTCAGAGTGAGGAACCTTGTCCTCAGTGAGAGGAACCTTGTCCTCAGTGTGAAGAAACTTGTCCTCAGAGTGCGGAACATTGTTCGCAGAGTGAAGAACCTTGTGCTCAGTGTGAAGTACCTTCCTCTCATAGCGAGGAACCTTGTCCACAGAGTGAGGAACATTGTTCGCAGAGTGCCAAGCCTTCCCTCAGTGCGTGGAACCTTGTCCTCACTGTGAAGAAACTTGTCCTCAGAGTGAGGACCCTTGTCCTCCGAGTGCGGAACTTTGTCCTCAGAGTGAGGAACCTTGTTCTCAGAGTGCCGAACCTTGCTTCAGTGTGAGGAACCTTGTCCTAAGTGTGAAAAACCTTGTCCTCAGAGTGAGGAACCTTGTCCTCAGAGTGGGGAACCTTGTCCTCAGAGCGAGGAACCTTATCGTCAGAGTGAGGAACTTTGTCCTCAGTGTGAAGAATCTTGTTCTCAGAGTGAGGAACCTTGTGCTCCGAGTGAGGAACCACGTCCACAGAGTGAGGAACCTTGTCCTCAGTGTGAGGAACCGTGTTCTCAGAGTGAGGAACCTTGTCCTCAGTGTGAGGAACCTTGTCCTCAGTGTGAAGAAACTTGTCCTCAGAGTGAGGTACCTTGTCCTCAGAGTGAGGTACCTTGTCCTCCGAGTGCGGAACTTTGTTCTCAGAGTGTGGAACCTTGTCCTCAGTGTGAAGCACCTTCTTCTCATAGCGAAGAACCTTGTCCTCAGAGTGAGGAACCTTGTTCTCAGAGTGAGGAACCTTGCGTCAGTGTGAGGAACCTTGTCCTCAGTGTGAAAAACCTTGTCCTCAGAGTGTGCAACCTTGTCTTCAGAGTGAGGAAGCTTGTCCTCACAGTGAGGAACCTTGTCCACTGGGTGAAGAACCTCGTCATCAGTGTGAGGAACCTTGTCCTCAGAGTTAGAAACCTTGTCCTCATGGTGAGGAACCTTGTCCTCAGAGTTAGGAACCTTCTCCTCAGAGTGACGAACCTTGTCCTCAGTGTAAGGAACCTTGTCCCAAGAGTGAGGAACCTTGTCCTCAGTGTGAGGACCCTTGTCTTCAGAGTGAGAAACCTTGTCCTCAGAGTTAGGAACCTTCTCCTCAGTGTGAGGAACGTTGTCCTCGAAGTGAGGAACCTTCTCTTCAGTGTGAGGAACGTTGTCCCCATAGTGAGGAACCTTGTCCTCAAATTGAGGAACATTGCCTTCAGAGTGAGGAACCTTGTCCTCAGAGTGAAGAACCCTGTCTTCAGAGTGAGGAACGTTGTCCTCAGAGTGAGAAACCTTGTCTTCAGAGTGAGGAGACTTGTCCTCAGAGTGTGAGGACTTTGTTTTCAGAGTGAGGAACCTTGTCCTCAGTGTGAGGAACCTTTGTCTCAGAGTGAGGAAGCTTGTCCTAAGTATGAGGAACCTTGTCCTCAGGGTGAAAAACCTGGTCCGCAGAGTGAGGAACCTTGTTTTCAGAGTGAGGAACATTGTCCTCAGTGGGAAACACCTTCTTCTCGGAGCGAGAAACATTTGTCCTCAGAGTGGGAAACCTTGTTCTCAGAGTGAGGAACCTTGTCCTCAGTGTGAGCAACCTTGTCCTCAGAGTGAGGAACCTTGTCCTCCGATTGAGGAACCTTGTTCTCAGAGTGAGGAACTTTGTTCTCAGAGTGAGGAACCTTGCCCTCAGTGTGAAGAACCTTGTCCTCAGAGTGAGGAACTTTGTCCTCTGAGTGACGAACCTAGTCCTCAGAGTGAGGAAGCTTGTCCTCAGTGTGAGGAACCTTGTTCTGAGAGTGAGGAACATTGTCCTCAATGTGAAACACCTTCTTCTCAGAGCGAGGAACCTTGTCCTCAGATTAAAAACATTGTCCTCGATGGGAGGAACCTGTCTTCAGAGTGAGCATCCTTGTCCTCAGAGTGAGGTACCTTGTCCTCAGTGTGAGGAAACTTGTCCTCAGTGTGAAGAACCTTGTCCTCAGAGTGAGGAGCCTTGTCCTCAGGGTGAGGTACCTTGTTCACAGCGTGAGGACCTTGTGCTCAGAGTGAGGAACATTGTTCTCAGAGTGAGGAACCTTCTCCTTAGAGAGAGGAACCTGCCTTCAGAGTGAGCAACCTTGTCCTCAGAGTGAGGAACTTGCCTTCAGAGTGACGAACCTTGTCCTCCGAGTGAGGAAGCTTGTCCTCACAGTGAGGAACCTTGTCCACTGGGTGAGGAACCTTGTCCTTAGTGTGAGGAACCTTGTCCTAAGAGTTAGGAACCTTGTCCTCATGGTGAGGAACCTTGTCCTCAGAGTGATGAACCTTGTTCTCAGAGTGAGGAACCTTGTCCTCAGTGTGAGGAACCTTGTTCTCAGAGTGAGGAACCTTGTCCTCCAAGTGAGGAACCACGTCCACAGAGTGAGGAACCTTGTCCTCAGTGTGAGGAACCATGTTCTTAGAGTGAGGAACCCTGTCCTAAGTGTCAGGAACCTTGTCCTCAGTGTGAAGAAACTTGTTCTCAGAGTGAGGAACCTTGTCCTCAGTGTGAAGCACCTTCTTCTAATAGCGAGGAACCTTGTCCTCAGAGTTAGGAACCTTGTTCTCAGAGTGAAGAACCTTGCCTCAGTGTGAGGAACCTTCTCCTCAGTGTGACAAACCTTGTCCTCAGAGTGAGGAACCTTGTCTTCAGAGTGAGGAACTTTGTCCTCAGAGTGAGGAACCTTGTCCTCCGAGTGAGGAACCTTGTCCTCAGAGCGAGGAACCTTGTCCTCAGTGTGAGGAACCTTGTCTTCATAGTCAGGAACCTCGTCCTCAGTGTGAGGAACCTTGTCCTCAGTGTGAAGAAACTTGTCCTCAGAATGAGGAACCTTGTCCTCAGAGTGAGGAAACAAGTCCTCAGTGTGAGGAATCTTTTCCTCAGTGTGAGGAAGCTTGTCCTCAGAGTGAGAAACCTTGTCCTCAGTGTGAGGAACCTTACCCTCAGACAGATGAACCTTTTCTTCAGAGTAAGGAACCTTGTCCGCAGAGTAAGGAACCTTGTCCTCCGAGTGAAGACCCTTGTCCTCAGAGGGAGGAAACTTGTTCTCAGAGGGAGGAACCTTTTCTCAGTGTGATTAACCTTGTCCTCAGAGTGAGGAAACTTGCCCTCAGACAGAGAAAGTTTGTCCTCAGAGCGAGCAACCTTGTCATCAGAATGGGAAACCTTGTCCTCAAAGTGAGGAACCTTGTCCTCAGAGTGAGAAACCTTGCCCTCAGAGTGAGGAACCTTTTCCTCAGAGTGAGGAAACTTGTTCTCAGAAGAAGAAACCTTTTCCTCAGCGTGAGGAACCTTGTCCTCAGAGTGAGAAAACTTGTCCTCAGGGTGAGAAACCTTGTCCTCAGAGTGAGGAACCTTGTTATCAGAGTGAGGAAACTTGTCTTGAGAGTGAGGAACCTTGTCCTCAGAGGGAGGAGCCTTGTTCTCAGAGTGAGGAACTTTGTCTTCAGTGTGAGGAACCTTGTCCTCAGTGTGAGGAGCCTACTTTCAGACTAAGGAACCTTGTCCACAGAGTAAGGAACCTTGTCCTCAGAATGAGGAACCTTGTCCTCAGAGTGAGGAACCTTGTCCTCAGAGTGAGGAACCTTGTTCTCAGAGTGAGGAACTTTGTCTTCAGTGTGAGGAACCTTGTCCTGAGTGTGAGGAACCTACTTTCAGACTGAGGAACCTAGTCCTCAGAGTGAAGCATCCTTGTCCGCAGAGTGAGGAACCTTGTCCTCAGAGTGAGGAACCTTGTCCGCAGAGTGAGGAACCTTGTCCTCGGACTGAGGAACCTTGTCCTCAGACTGAGGAACCATGTCCTCAGAGTGACAAAACTTGTTTTCAGAGTGAGGAACCTTTTCCTCAGTGTGAGGAACCTTGTCATCAGAGTGAGGAAACTTGTCCTCAGAGTGAGGAACCTTGTCCTCATAGTGAGGAACCTAGTCCTCAGAGTGAGGAACCTTATCCTCAGAGTGACGAACCTTCGCCTCAGTGCGAGAAACGTTGTCCTCAGAGTGACGAACCTTATCCTCAGACTGAGGATCCTTGTCCTCAGATTAAAAACCTTGTCCTCGATGTGAGTAACCTGTCTTCAGAGTGAGCATCGTTGTCCTCAGTGTGAGGAACCTGCCTTCAGCATGAGGAAACTTGTCCCCAGAGTGAGGAATTACCTTGTCCTCAGAGTGAGGAACATTATCCTTAGTGTGAGGAACCTGCCTTCAGAGTGAGCATCCTTGTCCTCAGTGTGAGGAACCTGCGTTCAGAGTGAAGAACCTTGTCCTCAGTGTGAGCAAACTTGTTCTCTGAGTGAGCAACCTTGTACTCAGAGTGAGCGAAATTGTCCTCAGAGTGAGGAACCTGGTCCTCAGAATGAGAAACCTTGTCCTGAGAGTGAAGAACCTGCCTTCAGAGTGAGGAAACTTGTCCTCAGAGTGAGGAACCTTGTCCTCAGAATGACGAACCTTGTCCTCAGTGTGAGGAACCTTGTCCTCAGAGTGAGGAACCTTATCCTCAGTGTGAGGTACCTTGTCCTCAGAGAGAGGAACCTTGTCCTGAGAGTGACGAACCTTGTCCTCAGTGTGAGGAACGTTGTCCTCAGAGTGAGGAACCTTATCTTCAGAGTGAGGATCCTTGTCCTCAGATTAAAAACTTTGTCCTCGATGTGAGGAACCTGTCTTCAGAGTGAGCATCCTTGTCCTCAGGATTAGGAAAATTGTCCTCAGTGTGAGGAACCTTGACCTCCGAGTGAGGAACTTTGTGCTCAGAGTGACGAACCTGCCTTCGCGGTGAAGAACCTTGTCCTCAGAGTGACGAAACTTGTTCTCAGAATGAGGAACCTTGACTCAGTGTGAGAAACCTGACTTCAGAGTGCGGAACCTTCTCCTCAGAGTGAGGAACCTTGTCCTCAGTGTGAGGAACCTTGTCCTCAGAATGAGGAACCTTGTCCTCAGAGTGAAGAACCTGCCTTCAGAGTGAGGAAACTTGTCCTCAGAGTAGGAAACCTTGTCCTCAGAGTGAGAAACCTTGTCCTCGATGTGAGGAACCTGCCTTCAGAGTGAGGAACCTTATCCTCAGAGTGAGCAACCTTGTACTCAGAGTGAGGAACCTGCTCCTCAGAATGAGAAACCTTGTCCTCAGAGTGAAGAACCTGGCTTCACAGTGAGGAAACTTGCCTCAGAATGAGCAACCTTGTCCTCAGAGTGAGGAACCTTGTCCTCAGAGCGAGGAACCTTGTCTTCAGTGTGAGGAACCTGCCTTCAGAGTTAGCATCCTTGTCCTCAGTGTGAGGAACCTGCATTCAGAGTGAAGAACCTTGTCCTCAGAGTGAGCACCCTTGTCCTCAGAGTGAGCAACCTTGTACTCAGAGTGAGGAACCTGGTCCTCAGAGTGAGAAACCTTGTCCTCAGAGTGAAGAACCTGACTTCACAGTGAGGAAACTTGCCCTCAGAATGAGCAACCTTGTCCTCAGAGTGAGGAACTTTGTCCTCAGAGCGAGGAACCTTGTCTTCAGTGTGAGGAACCTGCCTTCAGAGTGAGCATCCTTGTCCTCAGTGTAAGGAACCTGCATTCAGAGTGAAGAACCTTGTCCTCAGGGTTAGGAACCTTTTTCTCAGAGTGAGGAACCTTGTCCTCGGAGTGAGGAACCTTGTCCTCAGAGTCGGGAACCTTGTCCTCACAATGAGGAACCTTATCCTCAGAGTGAGGAACCTGCCTTCACAGTGAAGAACATTGTCTTCAGAGTGGCGAACCTTGTTCTCAGAGTGAGGAACCTTGTCCTCAGTATGAGGAACCTTGTCTTCAGTGTGAGGAACCTTCTCCTCAGTGGGAAGAACCTTGTCCTCAGAGTGAGGAACCTTGTCCTCAGAGTGAGCAACCTTGTCCTCAGAGCGAGCAACCTAGTACTCAGAGTGAGGAAACTGGTCCTCAGAATGAGAAACCTTGTCCTCAGAGTGAAGAACCTGCCTTCACAGTGAGGAAACTTGCTCTTAGAGTGAGCAACCTTGTCCTCAGAGTGAGGAACCTTGTCCTCAGAGCGAGGAACCTTGTCTTCAGTGTGAGGAACCTGCCTTCAGAGTGAGCATCCTTGTTCTCAGTGTGAGGAACCTGCGTTCAGAGTGAAGAACCTTCTCCTCAGAGTTAGGAACCTTTTCCTCAGAGTGAGGAAACCTGTAGTCAGAGTGTTGAACCTTGTCCTCAGAGTCAGGAACCTTTTCCTCAGAGTGAGGTACCTTGTCCTCAGGGTGAGGACCCTTGTCCTGAGAGTGGGGAACCTTGTCGTCAGAGTGAGGAATCTGCCTTCACAGTGAAGAACATTGTCCTCAGAGTGGCGAACCTTGTTCTCAGAGTGAGGAAACTTGTCCTCAGTATGAGGAACCTTGTCTTCAGTGTGAGGAACCTTGTCCTCAGTCTGAGGAACATTGACCTCAGAGTGAGGAACGTTGTCCTCAGAGTGAGGAACCTTGACCTGCGAGTGAATAACCTTGTCCTCCGGGTAAGGAACCTTGTCTTCAGAGTGAGGAACCTCGTCCTCAGAGTGAGGAACCTTGTCCTCAGAGCGAGGAGCTTTCTTCCCATTGAGAGGAACCCTGTCCTCAGAGTGAGGAAACTTGATCTCAGTGTGAGGAACCTTGACGTCCGAGTGAGGAACCTTGTCGTCAGATTGAGGAACCTTGTCCTCAGAGTGAGGAACATTGTCCTCAGAGTGAGGAACCTTGTACTCAGTGTGAGGAACCTTTTCCTAAGAGTGGGGAACTTTGTCCTCAGAGTGAGAAACCTGCCTTCAGAGTGAAGAACCTTGTCCCCAGAGTGAGGAACTTTGTTATAAGAGTGGGGAATCTTGTTCTCTGAGTGAGGAACCTGCCTTCACAGTGAAGAACCTTGTCCTCAGAGTGACGAACCTTGTTCTCAGAGTGAGGAACCTTGTCCTCAGTGTGAGGAACCTTGGCGGTAGTGTGAGGACACTTGTCTTCAGAGGGAGGAACTTTGTCCTCAGAATGAGGAACCTTGTCCTCAGTGTGAGGAATCTGCCTTCAGAGTGAGGAACGTTGACTTAGAGTGAGGAACCTTGTCCTCAGAGTGAGGAACCTTCTTCTCAGAGTAAGGAACCTTGTCCTCAGGGTGAGGAACCTTGTCCTCATTTTGAGGAACCTTTTCCTCAGAGTGAGGAACCTTGTCACCAGAGTGAGGAACCTTGTCCTCAGAGTGAGGAAACTTGCCCTCAGAGTGAGGAACCTTGTCCTCAGAGTGACGAAACTTGTCCTCACAGTGAGGAACCTTTTTGTCAGTGTGAGGAACCCTGTCCTCAGAGTGAGGAACCTATTCCTCAGAGTGAGAAGCCTTGTCCTCAGAGTCACGAAACTTGTTCTCAGAGTGAGGAACCTTCTCATCAGAGTGAGGAACCTTGTCCTCGGAGTGAGGAACCTTGTGTTCAGAGTGAGGAACCTTGTCTTCAGAGTGAGGAACCTTGTCCTCAGAGTGAGGAACCTTGTCCTCAAAGTGTGGAAACTTATTCTCAGAGGGAAGAACATTTTCCTCAGTGTGAGTAACCTTGTCCTCAGAGTGAGAAACCTTGTCCTCAGAGTGAGGAACCTTGATCTCAGAGAGACGAACCTTGTCCTCAGTGTGAGGAACCTTGTTCTCAGAGTGAGGAACCTTGTCCTGAGAGGGAGGAAACTCGTCCTCAGTGTGTGGAACCTTTTCGTCAGTGTGAGGAACTTTGTCCTCAGAGTGAGGAACCTTCTGCTCAGAGTGAGAAACCTTGTCCTCAGAGTCACGAAACTTGTTCTCAGAGTGAGGAACCTTCTCATCAGAGTGAGTAACCTTGTTCTCGGAGTGAGGAACCTTGTTCTCAGTGTGAGGAACCTTGTCCTCAGAGTGAGGAACCTTTTCCTCAGAGTTAGAAACCTTGTCCTCAGTGTGAGGAACCTTGTCCTCAGGGCGACGAACCTTGTCCTCAGGGTGACGAACCTTGTCCTCACTGTGACGAACCTTGTCCTCAGAGTGAGGAACCTTATCCTCAGAGAGATGAACCTTGTCCTCAGAGTAAGGAACCTTGTCCGCAGAGTAAGGAACCTTGTCCTCCGAGTGAGGAACCTTGTCCTCAAAGGGAAGAAACTTGTTCTCAGAGGGAGGAACCTTTTCTCAGTGTGATTAACCTTGTCCTCAGAGTGAGGAAACTTGTCCTCAGACAGAGAAAGTTTGTCCTCAGAGTGAGCAACCTTTTCATCAGAATGGGGAACCTTGTCCTCAGAGTGAGGAACCTTGTCCTCAGAGTGAGAAACCTTGTCCTCAGAGTGACGAACCTTTTCCTCAGAGTGAGGAAACTTGTTCTCAGAAAGAGGAACCTTTTCCTCAGTGTGAGGAACCTTGTGCTCAGAGTGAGAAAACTTGTCCTCAGGGTGAGAAACCTTGTCCTCAGAGTGAGGAACCTTGCTCTCAGAGTGAGGAACTTTGTCTTCCGTGTGAGGAACCTTGTCCTCGGTGTGGGGAACCTACTTTCAGACTGAGGAACCTTGTCCTCAGAGTGAGGAACCTTGTCCTCAGATTGAGGAACCTTGTTCTCAGAGTGAGGAACCTTGTTCTCAGAGTGAGGAACTTTGTCTTCAGTTTCAGGAACCTTGTGCTGAGTGTGAGGAACCTACTTTCAGACTGAGGAACCTTGTCCTCAGAGTGAGGAACCTTGTCCGCAGAGTGAGAAACCTTGTCCTCAGAGTGAGGAACCTTGTCCTCAGAGTGAGTAACCTTGTCCTCAGACTGAGGAACCTTGTCCTCAGACTGAGGAACCATGTCCTCAGAGTGACAAAACTTGTTTTCAGAGTGAGGAACCTTTTCCTCAGTGTGGGGAACCTTGTCATCAGAGTGAGGAACCTTGTCCTCAGAGTGAGGAACCTTGTCCTCAGAGTGAGGAACCTTATCCTCAGAGTGAGGAACCTTGTCCACAGTGTGAGGAACCTTGTCTTCAGAGAGGAACCTTGTCCTTAGAGTGACGAACCTTCTCCTCAGTGTGAGAAACGTTGTCCTCAGAGTGAGGAACCTTATCCTCAGAGTGAGGATCCTTGTCCTCAGATTAAAAACCTTCTCGTCGATGTGAGGAACCTGTCTTCAGAGTGAGCATCGTTGTCCTCAGTGTGAGGAACCTGCCTTCAGAATGAGGAAACTTGTCCTCAGAATGAGGAACTTTGTCCTCAGAGTGAGGAACCTTATCCTCAGTGTGAGAAACCTGCCTTCAGGGTGAGCATCCTTGTCCTCAGTGTGAGGAACCTGCGTTCAGAGTGAAGAACCTTGTCCTCTGAGTGAGCAGCCTTGTTCTCTGAGTTAGCAACCTTGTACTCAGAGTGAGCGAACTTGTCCTCAGAGTGAGGAACCTGGTCCTCAGAATGAGAAACCTTGTCCTCAGAGTGAAGAACCCGCCCCCAGAGTGAGGAAACTTGTCTTCAGAGTGAGGAACCTTGTCCTCAGAATGACGAACCTTTTCCTCAGTGTGAGGAACCTTGTCCTCAGAGTGACGAACCTTGTCCTCAGTGTGAGGAACGTTGTTCTAAGAGTGAGGAACCTTATCCTCAGAGTGAGGATCCTTGTCCTCGGATTAAAAACATTGTCCTCGATGTGAGGAACCTGTCTTCAGAGTGAGCATCCTTGTCCTCAGTGTGAGGAACCTTGACCTCAGAGTGAGAAACTTTGTCCTCAGAGTGACGAACATGCCTTCACGGTGAACAGCCTTGTCCTCAGAGTGACGAAACTTGTTCTCAGAATGAGGAACCTTGTCCTCAGTGTGAGGAACCTGACTTCAGAGTGTGGAACCTTCTCCTCATAGTGAGGAACCTTGTCCTCAGTGTGAGGAACCTTGTCCTCAGAATGAGGAACCTTGTCCTTAGAGTGAAGAACCTGCCTTCAGAGTGAGGAAACTTGTCCTCAGAGTTAGAAACCTTGTCCTCAGAGTGAGAAACCTTGTCCTCGATGTGAGGAACCTGCCTGCAGAGTGAGAAACCTTGTCCTCAGAGTGAGGAACCTTGTCCTCAGAGTGAGGAACCTTGTCCTCAGTGTGAGGAACCTGCCTTCAGAGTGAGCATCGTTGTCCTCAGTGTGTGGAACCTGCGTTCAGAGTGAAGAACCTTGTCCTCAGAGTGAGGAACCTTGTCCTCAGAGTGAGGAACATTGTCGTCCGATGGAGGAACATTGTCCTCGGAGTGAGGAACCTTGTCCTTAGTGTGAGGAACCTTGTCCTCAGAGTGAGGAACCTTGTCATCAAAGTGAGGAACCTTGTTCTCAGAGTCAGGACCTTTGTTCTCAGAGTGAGGAACCTTGTCCTCAGCACCGTTCGAGCTGAACGGTCAATGATTTTGAAGCTCCGCCATGAAACTTTGAAAAATATTATTATGAATTAAGTTATGGCAACAAAAGCACTTAAGAGGGCCTCTCAGTAAAATCCACCCACTATTTCGGGGAAGGGAAAATAGATTTAGCTCATATTTTGCATATGAACTAGACTTTGGTCAATATTAATCGAGCTTCTTTCAGAACGTTTCAACTTTCTGTTTTATAGGAGTTATAGCCATGTTGAAATTTGACCTTGCGAGAATATTTTCAGACCGGAAATGAAGGGGAATTTTACACGAATTCATCTCATTTTTTAAAAACGTTGTGATGCGTTTATCCCCTCCAGTTACTATTCACATGCAAGATTAACATTAATACTCTCGTTTACATGAAGATTGAACAACTTTATTTGCTTAATACGATTATTTTTTATAGTTTTTCGAAACTATGTTTTCAAGATGTCGACGAGAGGCTGAAAATTGCTCATATTTTACTTAAAATAGCTCAAAAGTGGCACCTATCTGAAGTTCAAAAGGCATGGAATTTGAAAGTATACCTACGAAAGTTAAGTAATCAGGAATAAAACTCGTCTGCAAGCAATTTTCAGAAAAGTTATAAATCTCCAAATTGGGTCTATTTTTAGCTGTTTGTTTACATTCCGCCATTCCGGTCAGTATAATCACAGAGTAGATAAGACATACAGAGACGTAACTGACCGTTGTAAACACTGCGGAAGATTACGTTATCATGTACCCACTTTTTTTCAGGCGACCGGGCGAAAAATGATCAACTGCGCGTGCTCAGCAAGTTTAAAGTGAGTCGTCATCAGGTCGTCATCCAATCAGATGCATGCATCTAGTAACTTGCCGAGCATGCGCAAAAAAAAGTGGGTACACTAGTTACGTCTCTGTATGTCTCTACTCTGTGGTATAATCTGCAGACTGCAGACCAAGTGCAAAATGTCGAAAAGGTATAAATTGCAGACTGAAATTGCAGACTTGGTATAAAATGCAGACTGTGAAAAAACCGTATAAAACTACACATTACGCCCGTTTTCAAAATTATGCGCCTTTATACCAAAATATAATCTAAGATTCAAATGTCAGTTTTATGTCACGAGAGTTGTGGGAACTGCTAAATGTAGTAAATGTAAGCAAAATTAAAACATCGTAAACCGTATTTAATACCTAAAGAGTAAAGAAGAATATTGAGCTAAAATGAACTTGATACACAAACCAAACTAGAAAGTAGAAACAACAAACCATCACAAAAATAAATTTGTGTAGCGAATGACTTTTAATTAGTTTGAGAAAGAACAATTAATTGTCAATTTATCCTCGAATTTAAATAACAAATGTGTATTAAACCCGCTTTCGCCTGATCATTAGTATAGCAGTAATATTATGATTTTTTTGTACTTAAATTTTGCAATAATTTTCACTAAAATATCTTTAAAATTAGTCTAAACCTTTTTATATAAAACATACAAAGCTTATACATTAGCTCTATTCACATTAGAGACGGACAGGTCGTCTAGACGAACAAATCGTCTCTCAAAAATCGTCTTCACAGACGGACAAGTAGTCGAACAAATTCAGACGACTTGTTCGTCTAAAATTTTGTCCGACATGTTTTCGCATCTGATGATTTGTCCGACTAAAAGACGATTTTGAGACGATTTGTTCGTTTAGACGACTTGTCCGTCTTCTAATGTGAAAACGACTAATAACATGCATCGACAATGACCACAAAACTCGAAGTTGTATAAAATAATTTGAACTTCATGATAGTATGACATATTAAAATATATGTTTTTTCACAGTCTGCATTTTATACCAAGTCTGCAATTTCAGTCTGCAATTTACACCTATTCTGCATTTTGTACTTGGTGTGCAGTCTGCGGTCTGCAGTCTGCAGATTATACTGACCGGTTAACATTCGCGTGTTCGCTGATCAGCGACACTAGTAATAATTAAAAATTAAATAAGCTGATTTATTATCCAGGTTCTAATTCACAACATAAAAACATTAAAAATACAACCTTAACAATTCTTGGCTTATTCGCATGAATAATTTCACAACTGTTAAATATCTTTTTAAGGTATAATCGGGCAGTACTTTCTGTGGTTGTAGCAAATTTCAAAGCTGTCAGTATCTCTGGCTGTATATAAAAAGTGTTCGGTGCTTTCACTTTTTTATTCAACTCGTCTCGTAATCTTTTTCTGTCCCTGCAAATGGAAATTTTGCCGGAAAGGTCGGACATTAATTCTTGCAGCATGGATGCAACATATTTTTGTACATAATTGCAGTCCAAATACTACAACCTTCCCACTTCCGCTTTTGTAGTCTGTTGTCATTTACTATTTTGTTTTGACTTTTGCATTATTGTAGCGGTTGCCGAATTATGGAGAAATATGGCGATAAAATTTAGTTTGTTTTTTTTATTTTTGTAGTATTTTAAATAATTGTAACAAAGGATGCATTTTTCGTTTGATTCACTGCATATGAACACATAAAAGTTTTGAAATTTAATTATGTCGTCGTATTTCCCTATAATTTGTTAACCGCTACAAAAACAGAAATACTGCAGTAAGAGACAGAGATTTTCAAAAAAATAGTATTTAAAAAAGTTTTAAAAGAGTTTTAAAAAGCAAAAAAGTTTAAAAAGTTAGATTTTTAAAAAAGTTAAAAAAATTTAAAACGGTTAAAAAAGTTAGGGTTAGGAGTTAGGGATTACTGGTTAGGATAAGGGGATTAGTGGTTAGGTGTTAGTGCCGCGACCGGTTGCCGAACATGAGGTTTTGTGGACCGGCACGTGACACGGTTTTGACAATCGGCAAATAGAAAAATTGAACTTTGACACTAACTAACAATAAGAGTTATAAGACTATATAACAATAAGATTTAGTTACCTTTGTTCTAATTTTATGCTTTTGTAGTCTAGAATTCGACCCATAGTAACTAGGCATGTGTACTATATAAAGTTGTGAATTGGGTATAAACAAACGTTACCCAAATTTGTCTAATCGAGCTAGACTTGGGTCAGTACACGCATTTTCATAAAAATAGCAACCCTTCGGCAAAACAGGATTCTGATTATCATATTGAGCGACATCAAAATCATGGGAGTTTTTGCAAAGTGCATTAAACGGGAGTTTCTGCATGGGAGTTTCTGCATAAGTGCGATATTACCTGTAGCACTATTTGATGACCTAAACATCGCACAGAGACACTTACTGTAAGTTTTCTATTCACATTGGTCGTTCAGACATGCACCTCCCGCCGTGGGAGCGGCAGATCAAGGTCATAATCAGGAGATTATGGTATTGTGTCAATGTATTGACGAAGTTCTTATTATTAATAACATTAAAAGATATTAGGGTCGTAGACACTGTACTACTCGTTGTAACTGTACTATTGTATGTGTATATTGAAAGTGTATAATTAGTGCAAGTGTAAGTTAAGCATAAATGTAAAGCAATTCGAATTCAAGAATGTTCTGTACACGATCGCTTGTATATATTGTAATTATATTTTCTCAAAATTGTATATATTCTTTTGAACAAGCTAAAAACGTTTACTCATGGGTAATAAATCAGCTTATTTTAACTCTTCAATTACTAGTGTCGCAGATCAGCGAACACGCGAATGTCAACAAACAGCTAAAAATAGACCCAATTTGGAGATTTATAACTTTTCGGAAAATTGCTTGCAGACGAGTTTTATTCCTGATTACTTAACTTTAGTAGGTGTACTTTCAAATTACATGCCTTTTGAACTTCAGATAGGTGCCACTTTTGAGCTATTTTACGTAAAATATGAGCAATTTTCAGCCTCTCGTCGCCATCTTGAAAACTTAGTTTCGTAAAACTTTAAAAAAAATCGTATTAAGCAAACAAAGTTGTTCAATCTCAATGTAAACGAGAGTATTAGTGTTAATCTTGCATGTGAACAGTAACTGAAGGGGATAAACGTATCACAACGTTTTTAAAAAATGAGATGAATTCTTGTAAAATTTCCCTTCATTTCCGGTCTGAAAATATTCTCGCAAGGTCAAATTTTAACATGGCTATAACTCCTATGAAACAGAAAATTGAAACATTCTGAAAGAAGCTCGATTAATATTGACCAAAGTCTAGTTCATATGCAAAATATGAGCTAAATCTATTTCTCCTTCCCCAAACCAGTGAGTGGATTTTACTGAGAGGCGCTCTTAAGTTAAGGTAACAAATTATCTGAATTGTTGCTATACAGGGTGTCTCAAAAAACCGCTACCCTTAGAAATTCACCATTGTTCTAATTTGAATGCCTGAACCTTGTTGAAGCCATGAATGCGTAAACATTTTCACAGGATGCATATATTAAAGATCTTCGGAATTAAAATATCCTTGAAAAGCGAATTTTTTTATCCTGGGAATTGAGAGTAGGTTCATACAAAAGTATAACTGCACGAAAATCGTTCAATTACATATTAGTGAATGTCAAGCAAATGGCTCAACTGAGCACAGAGCAAAGAGTATTTATTATCTTATTGTCCATTCAAATTGTTCATGCACTCATGAGTTCAAGATAGCACTCAGGCATTCAAATTAGAACAATGGTGAATTTCCAAGGGTAGCGGTTTTTTTGAGACACCCTGTAGTATAGGTTAATGCAGTTCATTTCGCTTGATAATGGCTTCATAACTGCATGCTTGTGCTAAAAACAAGTTGACATGTCTTTGTTTTTATAGTTCGCGATTTTCTGGCTATGCATGACTATGAATATTATATGATAGCCAGATAGGAGTATACAGGGTGTCTCAAAAAAAACCAAAATCATTGAAATTGACGTATTGTTCGATATTCAATGCCCTAGCACTAAGTTAATCCCACGAGTGCATAAAAGATTGACATAACTGCTATAATGAATGGTAATACTCAGCGTAAACTTGTTATGTCAGGCATAAAGTACTAAACCCACGAATGCATATTACGCATATTACAATTTACGAAGCATTTTTAAATTCCCATGAGTAAACAAACGTTCACTTTACAAAGATATTTTAATTTTTTAAAACAAATTAATCACCCTGTCAAAATCCTTTGTGTTACGGCATTGAAATTCGAACAATACGTTATTTCAATGATTTTGGTTTTTTTTGAGACACCCTGTAGTACTCCTCTGCGCTTTGAGAAACTAAGCCAGCGTGTTAATTTAGTCAACTTAAGTCTTAACGCTTATAATTAATCGTTATAATTAGCCGTCCACATTCTTGAGAAGCTTTAGACTACTGTGATTATGTTCACAACGAACAATAGAAAAGACAATGTCTTTGTTATCATTTGCGTTTGCTGATATATTTGCTGAATATTAATGATATGTATATATTAATTGCTATACGAATACAGTAAAAAATTCCTTGTATTTCGCGTCTAAAGTCAAAAATGAAAAATCAAACACCGTGAATCGATGCGGAATATTGCTTAGAATAATTATGTCAAGTTTTATTCCGATCGGACAAGTAATGACGGAGCCTTAGGGTTTTTTCAAAGAGCGTCGTCCCCTAACAACAACAACAACAACAACAAGAAGAAGATTAGCAGCGATTGGGGACCAGTTCCTGGTCCAAAAACCATAAAAGCTATGCACTTAAGTAGTCGTCTGACCTCCACAGCTACAACAACCGAAACAAACAGAACTTACATTTGGAACGCGTCGAGAAGAACTGGGATAAGCAGACATTCGGCTGCCATGTTGTCAACGACTGGAACATGCAGTCTGGTTGTGGAACTCCGGGAAATAGAACAATTTGCATAATCGGAAATTGAACCTAACCGAAACGTTTGACACTAGCTATATAAGACACTCTGCTGAAGTGATGGGACGCGATATGACATAGCCATAGGTTTAACATTACAGTAACTTCAATTATTTTTCTTGCTCAGGGCTCCACTGAAAATCACTTTGTGAGTGGACCTCCTGATTCAATATTGTAATTATTATTATTATTATTATTATTATTATTATTATTATTATTATTAGTGACTCGTTTGTTTATCAATCGAATCTCTTCTTGCGGACACCACATCTCGTAAGCGGAGACTATTAGAGAGTTTTAGATTGACGTTTACGGCAAACGTCAAACCGCTAACGAATTAGTTTGTGATTTTACAACTCTATATTATAACAGCTTTTACACCAGTTTTGAAATATATTAAACAATTATTAAACTTGTGGTATTTAACAATGATTCAAGAAAACAAATTAACCACTAGTCATGTATTCACCAAAGCAGTAAATTAAGATTTAGCGTGTTTGAAGTTTACGTTTGGCGTATAAATTTCATGCTTTAACGACTACAAGCCCTCATAGCAGTTCAAGTATAAAATTTATACGCCAAACGTCAACTTCAAACGCCAGATCTTAATTTACTGCTTTGGTGAATACATGACTAGTGGTAAGTGGTTAATTGCTTTCTTAAATCATTGTTAAATACCACAAGTTTAATAATTGCTTAATATATTTCAAAACTGGTGTAAAAGCTGTTATAATAGAGTTGTAAAATTAAAAACTTCGTTAGCGGTTTGACGTTTGCCGTAAACGTCAATCTAAAACTCTCATTATGAAAATCACCCGGCTCTTTTCAGATTTGAATCTGAAAATGAAATCATGAATCTGAAAGTGAAATCATGAATTAGAAAATGAAATAGTTTTGTCTGTTCGTTATAAATATGCTTCGCTCGGTAGGCATCAAAGCCATTGGACATCAACATGGCTTGGGATAAAGTTTCCGAGTGTCTGAAAGAAAAACTTGAATCGACAACGAATGGTTCATGAGGGTTTTTATTATCAAGAGTGGACTTTAATTAAGGGCATAGGACCGGACTTCAATTCTCGACATAATAGGTACGTGGGTCGAAAATACTGTATATATATTTTCGTTCCTTTGGTTAGTTTTATACACTTTGTAACTGCAATGGTACAGTATACATTCATTGAGTCTCTGTTGATCAATTATATTTACTTGTGGTACAGTGAAATTGCAATACAAAACTGTGGATCTTTGATTGCTTTAAACATAGCCAATTAATACGGGTATACCGGGTGTCCCAAAAAAAAAGTGGACGCTGTTTGGTTTCATGTAAGGTAAAAGCTATAAAAGCTATCGCAATGAAATAAAGATCATCGCATTTAGAAAGGACTAACTTAGATTTTGATGTATAGCACTTGAATTTATTTGCAATATTGACTGCGCTATTGATGTTTGAACGTTGAACTACTGTTTTTGAAAATGCCAAAAAATAGCAATCTTATATAATTACCGATGCAGTTATACTTGTTAAATAATAAATCTTTTTATTTTGGTAAAAGGAATGCATGAACAACAAGTTTGTTTACAATTTATTCGTTAGGAATAAACAGTAAATTTGCTAGAAAATGATTTAAAATTAAAGTTAATATTATACCATAACAATGTTTGTTTTGAAGAGTTCATGTTTGAAATTAGTTTAATTAGCCAATTTTTACCGGGTTTTCATGTATTCAAACAGTTGTGTCTCGCTTAATATTGCATGTAAATTCAAGTGCTATATATCAAAATCTACGTCAGTTCTTTCTGAATGCAATGATCTTTATTTCATTGCGATAGCTTTTATACCTTTTCCGTTACATGAAATCAAACAGTGTCCATTTTTTTTTTGCGACACCCTGTAGAATTGGCACTCCTAAATCCTTTGAGTCAAGTCAAACGAGGACAAGAGTTGATGAGATCGAGTTGGCAGACAAATTAAAAGTTTGGCGAGTGTTGCAACCACGTTTCAACTTGAATAAAATACATGATAATGTTGAGAAAGCATTATCATACGTTCTTCATCGTCGCTTGATCCCGGCTTTAGTATTAACGAAATACAGTATAAAACTAAAACCGAAAATTGAAAACATGCTGTACCCACTACCCAGAGTGCTGTACCTATTATGCTAAATGTAATTTGGTAAAAACTTGGGTAATTTGACCCCTATACACTTCCAACCAACCACCCCTCCCAATCACAAAGTCTTCACCAGATCCCTGCCTATATCACATATCTTGGGTTTGCAAAATGTTTTCATTTTCGGTTTTTGTTTTATACTTTATGTCTTTGTTTGCAAAATTATTTCATTTTCGGTTTTTGTTTTATACTTTATGTCTTTAGTAATTATTTGATGTACAGTATACGATTCTCTAGCTATAAAGTAGATAGATTTTCACAAATATCGAAGAGTATCTCTTTTGGCAAAGCATTTTGCATGGTTGTAGAAATTGGTATGTGTTATTCCCATGGCTTGAAATGATGTTGGCTTCTTCATGGTGTTGTTGTCGTTTGTCAGTGGCAATGATTCTGTTTTTCAACTGCTTCGGACCCTATGATTAAACTGTCGTTTAATTTCTAGGCTCCATTAGAGATCAAATTGGATGATGGCAACAAAAGGAGATGTAGCTGAAGATACTTGGGGATCATATACTACACCTGATTTCGGTATGCATTTAAATAGATCTGTTCAATTTCACTTTGTTATTGGTCAGTCAGTTAGAAAGACTGGTTTTTAATTTAAAATGTTGAGATCTGTACAGTTACAGATTGCGAAAAAAGTTTTGCAATGCTATGTTTGGTTCATAGGCATTTGCTTCAATTTCTGTTTGGTAATTTTAGATATTGAAAGAACTTTACATTGGTTGCATGGAGGCAGACATTATTTACAAGGCTCTCGCGAAGGCAACCTTAATTATTTTTCACCCTGCTCGGTTTCCTTTGTTCTTATCGTGGAATATATTCAATATTCCCCTTTATTCAATTTCCGTTTAACAATCCCCTCTAATATTCACCTGCAATTAATAATCCCCTCCAATATTCACCTGCAATTAATAATCCCCTCTAATATTCACCTTCAATGTCTTTGCAGCACAAAAATGAGAAAAAAACAACATAACGAAGGCAATATGGCATTAAGAATTATTTCTATTCTGACTCATTAACGCGACCTCGCAGTGTGAAAAATAAGTACGTTATTTTGAGGCACCTCGGGGATATGTGTTTATTAATAAATCACATATCCCCTCGTTGCCTCAAAATAACCTATACATAATCCTTTAGAATGCATTTTCGTTAACTGTGCATGTTCCCAAATCAACACCAAGTGAGAAGGGTGAGGCAAAAGAAACGCGAAGACGGAAGAGCCGGTGTCATAAAGGATATTGCCCCAAAGAGTGCCCCCCCCCCCCGACACTATCAACTAGCGGATCGTGTCTCTCCGAACAGTATCCGCTAGCTGACACTGTCCCGCCGGCATTATCCGCATCGCAGATAGTGTTTTCCCCCGCGTGTATTTTGTCCCCTCGTTAATTATACGTTTACTTCCGCGGGCGGTTTGTTGTTTGCGATTTTCTATTTCTATTGAGTGTATTCATTCACAAATATATGGGAAGGGCTGATACTTTTTCTGTACGGGTAATTCCATGTCAATTTATCCAGGGGGTAGAACCATAACCTCTTCAATTTTTTTCAAATTTGGTGTGTATATTCACCATCTTGAGACATGAAAAAATCCAAAATTTCAGACTTGTACCTTTAAAGGTCCAGACACACCGGACGCGATTCGACAACGCCACGCGATTTTTTAGTTTTTGAAAGTTAATAAAACAGCCAATGAGAGCAAATTTTGAAAGATATGTAGACCAAATAACTCAAAATGTTATAGCGCTTCTAAATATTTGGAAAATTTAAACTAGGATCAAAGTTATCGGTCAGTAAAAAATCGAAAAATCGCGTCGCGTTGACGAATCGCGTCCGGTTTGTCTGGACCTTAATAGTTTTCGATTTATGGGATTTTATATTTTGAGGATTTTTGTCAAAAATGGGCGTGGTTTGAACAAATTATATTGGGTAGCAGATCAGTAAAATGTTTATAAAACCTTGGTGATTTACTGTATTTTTATAAAAATTGGGGATGTATACAAGTTAATGTTGTAGAATTCAAAAATGATAATAACAATTGAATACAGCGAATAGGAAACCTGTAATTGCCATTCAAAATAATTTTTTTGTTAAATTACCATCGACCTACCTCAGGTGTAAATGTTGGAACGTGGCGGATATGAACCTAAATTTATGTTTTCATATTTATGCAACCTTACTGTAACTGCTGATAGTTCATCATCGCTGTATCGTACAACTTTTTCATTTAATATTATGACCTATTATAAAACTGATAATTCAAAATATCAGAACATCGGAAAATTTGAGTAACAAAAGGGATATTTGGTTTAAGATTGCGAAGTTTTCTTCTGAATTAAAAATGATTTAATTGCGATTCAAATTCAAACAATTTTATGCAGCTTTTAAGTAATTCAGATGGATATTAAGACCACTTTAAATAAGTGTGATTTCGTAGAATCTATTGGATATGAATGCCAATATAAGCTTTCAGGAACTTCTTGTTGATGCTATTAGCAACTTGACGGTGCATTTTTTCATTGCAAAATGTCAAGCAAGGTACTGGAAGGATAAAAAAAACACTTGTCTGAAACATGCATTGCCTTGTTGGACTTCACCGAGAATTACGACTTTATCGTGCAGGATAAAATCCATGGTTTTCCTTGGAACAACATCTGTTGTACTGTACACCCAGGTGCTCTATACCACATACAGGATGGAAAACTCCACTGTAAGTCTCTCTGTTGACGACATGCAGCATGACACACCTTTTTTTTATTAAGTGCAAGCAGAAATTGTGAGGTATCTGAAAAAAGAGCTCCCTGTTGTTGACATGTAATAGTTTTCGGGTAGTTGTGTTGGACAGTACAAAATTTTTAAGGTGGTCTTTCTTTGAAACCAGTCGTGGAGGTACAGTTAAAAAGCTAGTAGCACGAGCGAGTCTGCAAAGACCTTTAAACGACCAAATATTGCCAGTGGAAAAAAACGTTTGAGTATTGCAAGTCAAACATCAAGGGCATCAACTTTATAAAGATAACAAATGTGGACATAGAACCTGTCAGGCAAGTGTTGTCTATCAGATTCAAAAGTGGAAAAACAATTCCTGGTACAATAAGTTTTCATCATTTTCGCCACTTTCTCATGGGGATGTTACCTACAAGACGGTGAGTGATGATGAAGTTGCTGCTGGAACATTCAAATTTTTAAACATTGTGTTGGCAGATCAAATTTCTGACATTAGAATCATGGAGTTTATCAGTATGATTCGCTTTGGTTGGTTGGATTAGTTAAAGAGATTGATTACGAACAGGAGGACATTCTGGTAAAATTTATGCACCCTCCTGGACCAAGAAGGTTTAATAATAATAATAATAATAATAATAATAATAATAATAATAATATATTGAATTTATATTGCGCATGTTAGCATGGAAATATGTTCACATGCGCATTACAACAATGAAGCTAACACTACTCATATCTAAGTATACATGATAAAATATTGTTAAAAGATCATTCAAGACCTAAAAGCTAGTCTAAATAAATATGTCTTCAATGGTGTTTTGAATGACGAAAACGAGTTAGTGCAACGAATATTAGCAGGTAAACCGTTCCAGAGTTTTGGAGCAGCCGACTGAAATGCTCTATCACCAAGTTTATTTTTATCCTTCCAGTACCTTGCTTGACATTTTGCAATGAAAAAATGCGCCGTCAAGTTGCTAATAGCATCAACAAGAAGTTCCTGAAAGCTTATATTGGCATTCATATCCAATAGATTCTACGAAATCACACTTATTTAAAGTGGTCTTAATATCCATCTGAATTACTTAAAAGCTGCATAAAATTGTTTGAATTTGATTTGCAATTAAAGAATTTTTAATTCAGAAGAAAACTTCGCAATCTTAAACCAAATATCCCTTTTGTTACTCAAGTTTTCCGATGTTCTAATATTTTGAATTATCAGTTTTATAATAGGTCATAATATTAAATGAAAAAGTTGTACGATACAGCGATGATGAACTATCAGCAGTTATAGTAAGGTTGCGTAAGTATAAAAACATCAATTTAGATACATATTTTCAAGTTGATGTAACTTTTGAGGCCTAGAAGAACAATTGATGAAACTACCCGTAAAAACTCATAAACATGTGTACTTTAAGATGGTTATGTCAAATTTGCTCTATCATGTCCGCCACATTCCAAAATTTACACCTGAAGTACGTCGATGGTAATTTAACAAAAAATTAAATTTGAATGGCAGTTATACAGTTTTCATATTCGCTGTATTCAGTTGTTAGTATCATTTGTGAATTCTACAACATTAACTTGTATACATCTCCAATTTTTATAAAAATACAGTAAATGACCAAGGTTTTATTAACATTTTACTGATCTGTTACCCAAGATAATTTGTTCAAACCACGCCCATTTTTGACAAAAATCCTCAAAAAATAAAATACCATAAATCGAAAACTAATAAAGGTATAAGTCTGAAATTTTTTTGATTTTTACATGGCTCAAGATGATGAATATACCCTTCAAATTTGAACAAAAATTGAAGAGGTATGGTTTTATTCTCAAAAATTTCTGGATGAATTGACATGGAATTACCCGTACCTGATGAAATGCTATCCATTTAACTATAGACATAATCGCAGCCTGTAGTTGTGCAGGCGCTTCTTTGTAATACTTTTCTTTAGTACTGAAATATGTTATATGGTATGCGCGTTATTCTTCAAAATTAAAAATGTTTATTTAGCAGAATATGATAAGTAGATTTGGATTAAATGTCAACTGCAAACTTTATGCTCGGAGTATCCTCATTAATGTAGTTTAATATGTTGGAATTAAATGTAAGTGGTTTGAAGAACTGGCGCCGCAACTTAGCAAGACAACCAATACACACAGATACATTTAGACACATGCATTTTGTGGCATATAATTTGGGCAAGGTAGTGCTCAAAGTGGAAATGGTCTAGAGGCTCTCGCCAGCCTAAGTTTTACCTAGAGGAATAGGCGAACCTCTAGATTGCAGATGGAGTGGCACAGCTCTTCAACGAGTTGAGCCCCGATGGTTGAGTCATTTTGGTAGCAAAGCGATCATTTAAAATTATCAAAGTGTGCATGAACTGTAACAAAAATCCTGGGAGAAATGAGGACCATTTGTGTATAATATATACGTGAAGGAAAAACCCAGGAAAAAAACTGCAGCAGAATTTCCCGTTGGTATAGATTGAGGACTGCATCAGTTGTGACCGTTCACATGCTAAGCTGCCAAAGTTCAATTCTTTACGCATTTTATAAATATTATATATAACAGGGCTAGAAAAGGGGGTGCATTGTCATATCGAAAGATACCTTATCTGACCGAGAAGCAAGATGTTTAGGGGAAATGGGATCTTCTTGGACATATATTACTTCATTAACCACAATTTATAGCCGTCATAGCCTTAAATTGAAAAAATGCTCATTTGAATAAACCTAAAACCATATCTTATACGCTCTGAGCGTCTGCGCAACGTGCAACGATTGTCTGCTGCCTCGTATTGCAATTATCAGTTAGTAAAATATATAGCTACAAATTGTACTAAAATTGTGGGAAACAAACACTTTAAAAACTATTGAAATAAATTGCTTCGCTATGTGTGTTGGTTTAAGTATTTGTTGAAAACTATAAGTAATGTTATTTTTTGTGTCTATTTTGATGTTATGTACATGCTCAGGTGAATATAATGTTTACCATAATATAATTAGTATCCCAAAGGTCGCGGGTTCGATTCCCACCGTGGTCAGGCTAACTTTTCAGCCTGCCCAGTGTGGATATACACTCAGAGTAACATCAAAAACATTATAAGTAATGTATCCAGCAGTTCTTTTTTACTGTTTGTATATTAGTAGCTCTTTGCATAATATAATGACCGGAAATGATCCACAAAAATTATCATTTATATACTGTATTTCTAGGTTTTATCGACTCATTCTTGCCAGAACACTACAGAGATGGAAATACTATCGAGGTAATTAAAAGTGGTCCTAATTAGGTCTAGCTGTTTCAAACGTCGCGCTTCTCATGTTTCGAACGCATTAAAAACAACAGCTAATCAGCTGAAATGCCTCATTATTTTTGCTTCTAATGCGTTCGGCACATTAGAAGCGCGACGTTTGAAACAGACCTTAACCGATTTATGAACACCGAGCACACTTTCTTGATTTATAATATTATTTGATTTATTATATTAATTTATTTAATATAATAAAAACTGTTATAAATTGTAAACAATTCAGTGGCAGAAACGAACCAACACTGACTCAGAGGAAGCCATCCTGTTTTAAAAGGGGTAATGATTTGTGCTCACTGAAAAGTAAGAAATAAATGAGTGAAACATGTTATGTCACAAGCCAGGCTAGGCATCATAGCTCGACAGCCACTGGTCAATATGATGACATCAAAACTATACCTTTGCAGCTGTTTCAAATTTGGAATTGGGTAACAACATTTTAAATTAAACATCTATTTGTCGCTATTCAGTTATAGTTATATCCAGCCTGAAGAAAGGGTGGACACCCTCGCGCCGCGAGGACCTCTTAGGCCACGCCAATGTCTGGAATAGTTTTATGAATACATTTACTCGGGTCAAAAATTGTTCCAAGATAGCGGACAGCTAGCTCATTATTTTTTATAGAAATATTTCAAGAAGTATAAGAGGGTTTTTATGTGATTCAAAAGTTCTTTCAAGTAAAACAAACTAAAATGTTTTGTCATATCTCTTTAATTACACCCACTTAACATGAACGAATGTCCTACAACAAATATTTTTTGACAATTTTGTTGTTGTTTGCGTTCAAAGTTGCTGTGTACACGAGAAAAAAGTTGTCGAAGAAAATTTGTTCGTGTAGAAAATACTTTTGTAATGACGAAAATATGGTTCGTAACCAAACATTTAAAATATACTAATGTTTTGTTTAACAGTCAGACCCAGCCGAGTTGATTGAAACTGCAAAACGGGCTTTGGCCAAAGGAGAATTAGAGATCGCTGAAAATTACTCGATTCAGGCCATGCGCACAGTTATGTTGGACAACTCATACAAAAGAAGCCCAGAGCCGTATCGCTGCTTAGCTGAAGTCCTAGAGAGGAAAGCAGAAGACAAAAATTTGGAGTTGCCGCAGAGGCAACGATTTCTGCTTCAAGCTGCAGCATTGTATAACTTTGTGCGCAACTTTTTAAAAACAGAGGACGTGGAAGGCGAACTGTCGAAAACGCTGTCGAAAATTGTCTCTCGTAAGCTACTGGATATCCAAGACAACATGGATGAAATGGTTCGAGGAAATCCTCTTCACTGTAAATTTGATTCAGTGGTTAAAGAAAATGAGCTGAAAAATTTAAGAAATGAGGTAAAAAAATCGTTGGAGTCTATGGAGTGCCGTAGATCGTCTAAGAACCAAGAATCATTGAACAAATATGATGTGCGACAGATGCTGAAAGATGAAACTGAGGAGATAGAAAGACTATCTGATACAATTTCGGTTGGAATGAAGCTGTTCTTGGCAACGATAATTAACGAATGTTTAGAGTTACTTGGAACACCACCTTGTGATCATGAAGTCATTGTCTTTGGGTCTTTAGCAAGAAATGAAATGACGCCATACTCCGATTTCGAATGGGCTATTCTCACAAACTCAGAAGAAGAAGAATGTAAAGTTTTCTTTCGAAATTTAACAAACCTGGTTCATTTGCAGGTAGGCCAAGTCTTTGTAGTCCTATAATATTCAGTATTCTTACGTCAAAGGTAGTCAAGCCAGAGCTTTTGGACAAGGAAAATCAGTTCGTGTGTACGGCCGAGTGTAGAAGACATTGATGAGTGTACATGAAATACCTCTATGGTTTTGGCAAACAAAAGGCAGTTTTGACGTGAGATAAATGTTTAACATTAGGCTTTAGTCTGAATCATTTACTCGCGTCATTAATAATTTACTTGAGTCAATCATTTACTTGAGTCAGTCATTTTTTAATTATTATTATTATTATTATTATTATGGTTTATTACATATTTCGCACACGTATGTGAATTGCAATATGTTTACAAGAAAGTTATATATAAAAAATACAACAAATTACAAATGCGCCGGAATTTAAAAATGGTAAAACTGTCTTACGTTAAAATCAGATATTACTAGCTACTAACAACTACTGAAGTTACGATAAAAAAATCTATAGACATTAATTAGCTATGGTCGTTCTGATACAACATATATGCCATTCATGTTTCGCTCGCTACTCTGGTTTAAATAAATGATTACAAAGCCCAGTCGAATTGTAATTAAGACCCAACGTTTCGACACTCCAGTCTAGTGTCTTCATCAGGGGTGATCTAAAGATGCAATCGTGGCTTCTTAAATATTTAAAGCATGAATACTCATATTTATATGCCACGCTTCTAGGCAAAGTCTTTGACCATAGCGATTGTTTGTGGTAATTACTTTAGAGTTTTTTTACGCAATCTCATGTTTGGTGAAACATACATGTTCGGCTAAAGCTGATTTCCCCTTGTCTAAAGTTGAAACAGCCCTTTGATATTCTTTTAGTCGTGTACCAAACTGGCGTTTAGACTGACCCAAATACTCTTTCTCGCAGTCACCGCATGGTATAGAATATACAGCATGAGTTTTCTGATTTGTTTTAACAGGACCTTTTGGCTTTGAGAAAATATGGCCTAAAGTCAAATAGGGTTTTAAGGCAACCTTAATATTACAATTACTTAAGATTCTCTTGATTGGTTCTGTGACACCTTGAATGTATGGAACTATTGCATAACCCTTAACAGAGGTATCACCCTCGGAGTTATTTTGGTTCCTACAAACAGGTGATCTCAGGCAATCATTAAGAAACCGTTTAGAGTAATCGTTTTCCCCTAAAATATTTAGAACATATTCACGTTCATTAGCTTGAGAATCACTGTTAGACGGCAAGGATTCAGCTCTTTGAAGCAAAGTTTTTGCTACGGATCTTTTGTGGCTTTTGTGGGTGGCTTCATCACCCAGTAAGCCACAAAAGATCCGTAGCAAAAACTTTGCTTCAAAGAGCTGAATCCTTGCCGTCTAACAGTGATTCTCAAGCTAATGAACGTGAATATGTTCTAAATATTTTAGGGGAAAACGATTACCCTAAACGGTTTCTTAATGATTGCATGAGATCACCTGTTTGTAGGAACCAAAATAACTCCGAGGGTGATACCTCTGTTAAGGGTTATGCAATAGTTCCATACATTCAAAGTGTCACAGAACCAATCAAGAGAATCATGAGTAATTGTAATATAAGGTTGCCTTAAAACCCTATTTGACTTTAGGCCATATTTTCTCAAAGCCAAAAGATCCTGTTAAAATAAATAAGAAAACTCATGCTGTATATTCTATACCATGCGGTGACTGCGAGAAAGAGTATTTGGGTCAGTCTAAACGCCAGTTTGGTACACGGCTAAAAGGACATCAAAAGGCTGTTTCAACTTTAGACAAGGGGAAATCAGCTTTAGCTGAACATGTATGTTTCACCAAACATGAGATTGCGTGGGAAACCTCTAAAGTAATTACCACAAACAATCGCTATGGTCAAAGACTTTGCATAGAAGCGTGGCATATAAATATGAGTAATCATGCTTTGAATAGGGATGACGGTGCCTATTTGCCAGAGGAATATATACATCTCATTGGCAGGTGACGTCATTCCTTGGGTATTTAAGAAGCCACGATTGCATCTTTAGATCACCCCTGATGAAGACACTAGACTGGAGTGTCGAAACGTTGAGTCTTGATTACAATTCAACTGGGCTTTGTAATCATTTATTTAAACCAGAGTAGCGAGCGAAACATGATTGATATACCTGGTTGCAGTGAACGAACAAACTTAATTTAAATATATGCCATTGCAGGAAAGAAACTGTTCTTGTATCTTTCAGTGCGGCATTTGGGCAGAGAGAGATTGGAACTGTTTCGAAGATTTGCTGTGACACATTGTTCACGAGTGGGGGCAATAGTTGGTGGAGCAGCGAATCTGGTTCAATAATTTTTGTTAATACTTTCTGACAGATTTCAATGCGTCTTTCGTCCAGTCGGCTGAAGTTGCCTGCAATCAACGCTTCGCTGTAATGATAATCAGGGAATATTATACGTTTTTGTATCATTTCTATTTTGGTACAGAGATATTCAGGGATACTATTGCACCACAAAACACAACAATATTCCAGAGTGGACCGTACAAGTGAAGAATAAATGCAGGTCAAATCATTGCTTGGCACACCAGCTTTTTTAAGCATTCTGATTATATGTAAACGTTTTGATGCTTTGCTAATTATTTCGTTGGTGTTTTTATCCACTTTAAATTGTCCATTATGGTCATGCCAAGTACTTTGTGAGATACTACTTTATCTAATGGGACTTCATTTAGCAACAGTGGTGCTAAATCAGGCGTATGCTTTAGTGGGCAAACCACCATCTCTTTGCATTTCTTGGGGTTGATATTCATGTTGTTATCTTTCGCCCATGCCGAAATAGTATCGAGATTGGTCTGTAAAACGGAAATTGATTCAGTCTTAACTACTTCTGACAATGTCACATCATCGACAAACTTCCAATGATCTGCTATAAGTGGGAATTTGACTGCGAGATTGTTAATCGTTATAGCAAACAATCGGTCGAAGTTTTGTCCCCTGTGGAATGCCAGCACGGCAAAGTTCCCAGTCCAAATGAGAGAATTGAGCTTAACAGCTTGACGTCGGTCACTAAGAAAACTACAAAGCCAGGCAATTAATGATCCCCTCACACCAAGATCGATCAATTTCTTCACTAAAACGTTATGATCAATGTGTTCGAATGCTTTGCTAAAGTCCAAATAACAAATCCTTAGATAATGATCCGGTTGATCTAATGACGAGAGCCAATTTTCGAACATGTCCAGAAGGCAATAGGTGGTTGAAGAGTCTTTAAGGGAACCGAACCGAACTGCTGTGGGTCAATTTTATGTCGGACGTCTTCAGTCAGCCATTTTAGTGCAAAATCCTCCTGAATCTTTGCAATACATGGAGTGAGGGAAATAGGTCTAATGTCTCCATTGGCCGTTACTGGGGTGGCTTTAGGTATAGGGGATATAAAAGAATCTTTCAAAGATGCAGGCGGAAAAGGACGCGTTAAAAATTTCCGTTATGGGTAGGGAAAGTTCAGGGGCAAAGCTTTTCCAGATACGATTCGGGATGCCGTCAGGTCCAACAGATTTGAAAGCGTTCATCTCAGACAGTTTTTTGCACACCTCGCTTGATCTTATCCCCGGCAGTTCATATTGAACCGGCAGATAGGCCGGTAAGTTGTTTCTGAACTTTCTGTCCAATGGTAAAAGATCAGACGTAGCCGAAATATAAAATTTATTCAAACGTTTGGCTAAATTAATCCCAGACATCACATGTCCAGCCTCATCCTCGTAACTGATCGGAGTAGAATTCACAGATCTACCTGAAATTTTATTAATAATGTTCCACCACTTGCGTGGGTTGGTGCCTTTAAGGTTATGAATTTTTTCACGTAGAAAGTTTCTTTCCTTTGGAGTATAGTTTTCCGTACCTTATTTCTCAGATGCTTCCATCGATCATTCATCCCCGAGTGGAAAGCACGTTGTCTGTTTAAGATTAACAACTTAATCGATGATTTCATCCATGGCTTATCAGTCTTTGTCCATGGCTTATCACAGTCTTTGTCGGGAAGAAAGCATCTACAGCGGCAGTAAGGTCATGCATAAAAGACCCTGTCATTCTGTCAACTGAAACGTTGCTGTCTAAAACGCCTCAAACGGCGTTTGTTATTTTCAGTTCGGTCTCCTGTACGATGTCCGTCATGGGGCATTACTGGGTTCCAGGTTATGACATTATGATCACTAGATCCTAACGGTGCAATGGTTTCTGGCTTATTATAGAAACTATTGAAATCCGTTATTATTAAGTCCAACACTATTGTACTGCGGGTAGGAGATTCAACCACTTGTTTGAAATCATGGTGTAACAAAATGTCAGATATATTTAGTCTGTTGAAGTCACCCATGATAGCAAAACCACAATCTGGATGGCTAGAACGTACATGGTCGGCAGTGTCCACAATATACTGAATAAGATCTTTTAATTCTTCTGCTGATTTACCAGGGGGAATGTAGATGACACCAAACATCATATTTGTCATACGCCGTGGTAAACGACGTGGCCTGAGGTTTACCCACATGCATTCGTAAAGAAGATTTTCGAGGTCGGATCTACGTTTGGAATGAATACTATGGAAAACATATAAACACACACCTCCACCACGACCACCAGACCTGTCTCTTCGGTGTAATATATAACCTCCAATATTAACAAGGCTATCATCTAGCCCACCATGCAGTCAGGTTTCCGTTATCGCAGCCACATCAGTCCTCATGGCATCCAAGGTAGCAGCCAGTTCATCTATTTTAGGCCACAACGCATGTGCGTTACAGAGTAGAATACGTGGCAAGCGCGAAGTTGATCCTCTATATTTTCCGCTCAAAAGGACTTTAATTAAATTTAATCTGCGTACTATATTACTACAGTTTACTCTTTTAATACGGTTTGAAATTATGGTCGGAATAGTTCTTTGATCTATTATCGTCTTAAAGGGGGGGGGGGGAGGGTCGTCAATCATATTAGGAATAGTGGTTAAGTCATCGAGTTCTGACGAACTAAGTGTAGATAATTCAGCCAGTCTTTCGTCAGATCTTGGTAAGATGGTAAATAATTCAAATATCGATCTCGACGGTGTTTCCGAAAGGGAGGGTAGTGATTCCGAGAATGAAACTGGTGATTGATGTAACTGCGCTTGTTCCCAAAAGAAAGGATATTTTCCTTATTCACTTTTCTCCTTTTCTTATCGATGCTTGGTTTCCCACTCGAAGTATATTTATTCAATGGTGGCTTGGTTGGCGACTTAGACGACTGAGGTTCTATTTGATCGTTTTGAAATACACTATCGCTATTGTTCACTTGTACATGTTTATGTATTGGCGTTTCCAAAAGCGGTAAATAACTTATCCAATTCTTGGGTTTTATGTACAGGTTTTCTGATTGTTGGGGTTTAGTTTGTTGATATTGTTTTCCCTCGTCTGGCGTCACATTGCCAGGGCTCACAACGGCTTCAGTTCTGGCTTTGTTCTGTTGGCACTCATTGTTTGGGCACAAAAGTTCGTCACGGTCTCTTGTTTGCGTTTGTCTTTGACCTTTGTGTTTAGTGTTAGGTTTCGGTTTAGCCTTGCGTATAATTATTTTCTCAAGAGGGTAATCAGCATGAATAGCCTCGCCTTGGTCATTGTTTCTATCCGCTGTCAAGCGTTTCGCGAACGAACTTTCAATATTATTCATTTGACTCATCAGGGGCTGCGTTGGTGGCGAGGCAGTCTTACTTTTATTATCAGTATGCTTTGTCAGTGTTTATTTTAACGTGCAGTTCTACACAAAATGTGTAGTTCTAAACCAATTTGTGCAGTTCTTAAAACACAAATGTGCAGTCACCAAACAAACAAAAATAGCCTTCTCATTTACTCGTTACCCTTGTGGATGCTCCAGAAAATTCCAGAATTGCTGTCATTAACTGAGGATCAAAAATATAAACGTTTTCTGGGGGAGGACTCCAGACCCTCCTATTTTCCTCACAAATCACTTACGTGCTGGCGTAATGGAAAAGAAGGTAAAATTGGGGCGACCGAAGCTCCCCAAAAGAGATTAGAGTGGGAGAACCTAATATTCATTGCTGCCTCAAATGCAAATTTAAGGTTGTTATATATTGAATATCCATGATTCCCACTTACATGTTTTGAAACAGTTTTTGTGAGTGGTTGGGTAAACAAATCTTTGCCAGAATTAAGAGCCTCTAGATTCAAATTGTGTTGGGTAAAAAAAAAACCAAAATCGAGTTTGTCTACAGGCGTTTCTCCAATTCTCCCACCCGCAACCACACCATTATTCTGTCACCTATATGCAGGTAAAAAATCCTTCGACCCCCCCGTCAAACACCCGTTGTCTTCGTAACATCCCTATATGTGCAGTTCTATTTTTTTCTTAAAATAAACCCTGTGCTTTGTTGATAGATTCTTAAATTTTAATGAGTTTCTTTCATTTTCAATTTCTAACAAATTCTCTTGAAGCTGTTTAATGGTGATATCTCGCTCGTTTATCGCTCTGTTTTTTTCGTCTAAAATTATAGAAAACTCCTTAGCAAGGTCTCTATTCTGGTGTAAAGACTTAATGTCTAAGTCAAGGTTTAGAGACGTCAAATTTCCGATTTTTGTAGAGCTCGAAAAATCGTGACAGGCGGCCATTGCAAATAATTAAATGATTACTTGTCGTAATCATTTACTTGAGTCATTTACTCGCTTGCGCCAAACATGCACTGATAGATATTTGCCTCGACGTTCCGTGTGTCGGTAAATATCCATTATGAATGATTTTTAAATATATTAGTCTCCGCGCATGCGCTTTTACACTGCTCTCCGTTGCCTATCTGCCTTTTAAGAGGCATCAACTATTTCGCTGACCTCAGAATGACATTTCGTCAAAACGTTTTTCTTCAAGATTGGTTTAGAAACGAACTTGTAGTAGGGTTAATTTAGGGTTAGGGTAAGGATTAGGGTTAGGGTCAGAGTTGGTGTTTGGAGTAGAGTTTGTGTTAGTAAAACCGTTGCTTTGTTACGTTTTGTCACTTTGAGGCCAGCGAAATAATCTCTTCCCTTTTAAGATAGTCTCAAAGTAGCGAACTTCGTTTCAAAGTTTTCAATTACATTTGGAAGTTTGCCATTTCCCAACGAATTTCACAACACGTAACGGAAACCTTATTTGAAATCAACTGCATTAAAACATAAAATGTATACAGCAATAGTTGAGGGGACAAAAATGCGGGGGAGGGGCGAGGGCTCAAAAAGTATAGAATAAACAACGAAGGAAAGGAAGACATTTATAGCGATGAAAAACACGGGTGAAGCGAAAGGTGGAAGCAGAGAAAAAAAAAGTGGAAACGAATCCAGGGTAGGAAGCATACCAAAGCAGGAAATATATTTGAGCAATCTTTACCTTATTTAGATTGTCAACCTGGGAGAAACCATTTTACCTAGCATGAATATCGAAGCAATTAAAGAGGCATGGTTTTATGATGACATAACAACAAGAGGAGTTTCGTTTGATGGGTTTCTTCCACAAGCGTGCAAGACGCCTTTAGGAAATATGCTTTTAGGAAATACGCCGGAATTTGAGCTGATTCATACACCAGAGAAAATGGCAGATTTCCAGAACAACGATTGGTATCGTAAGGATTGGAAATTAGGAGACACCTTGTTGACATTTTCCCCTCTGCAACGGGATAAACATATATTGGTTGATGCTTATCGGAGGGAGATGGCTAAAATCTTGTCCTGTCCTTGTGATTCAAAATATTGTAAACATGATGCTTCGTGTGGTGCTTGGCCTACCCAGGGATCCTGCCGAGGGCTGAGCACTCTTTGCGAAGATGTGTCTCGTTATGGGGATGTGATGACCGGCAATAACGTCTTGGACGATGGGAAAATTTATGATGTCAAAAAGGAAATTTATCGTTTAACAGACCGTGTATTTGCTGCACTGGCAAAATGTTATGAAGTTGATGCAAGCGGAACTTTTGCTATACTTGACGAACTGGACAAAAGGAAAATAATTTCGTCGGAAGCAAGAGATAACTTTGCAAGTGCTTCGGCAATTGCAATTAAGCTAAGAATAAGTACTTATCTTAAAGCTGGAAAACAAGGGGAACAACTCATGGCAAGTTCAAACGAAGAATCAGGGAAGTTGACTTCTGTTTTCTATATGCCAAATAATGAAGAACTGTTTCACTTTTTCTTCATTGCCATTCCTTTTTATGAAGAGTTACAAAAGTTCAAGCAAGCCGAAAACATACCGCCGTCGCTTACACACAGTCCATTCTATGACGATTCTGACATCACGGTGGGTCATATATATTGTCGCTTGTTAAACTACGACGGAGCTCTTAAATGCTACGACCGTACTCTTCAACAGGATCCAGAAAACCTGGGTATTGAAATCCGTCGAATAAGTATTGCACTTTGTATTACAAAGGACACAGAAGAGATGGTTAAGATTCGAGAAAATTTGGATACCTTGTTGTGTAAGATAGACCAAAGTTGGTCAGAGCCGCATCAGGAAACCACATCATTCGTCAATCGCTTGGACTTCGAGGAAATTCGGCAATTGATAGAAGTATTGCGTTTGGCTTCCTCGTTTTTTGATTGTCCCAAATATTTTGAATTGGCAGGAAACATTCTGTTTCAAAATCTGGCGGTAGGTGGAAGTAAATACGTGAGTGCTAGAAAAGAACTTCTCATAATGGGAATCGCGTTTATGATACATTTACCTGAGCGTTCTGAACAGTCGGCCTTAGTTGACGTCGTAACTTCTGAAATTACATCTTTAATTGACAAAGAAGGTGTGAGCACTAAAAGTATTTTGTGGTTAAATAGGCTTGGTGAGTTTCTATTTGAAATGTGTAAAATTGACAAGGCTTATCGTTGTTTTCAAAGAGCATTGAGTATGGAGCGCCTCCTTTACCAAACCAAGCCAAACATGAATATAATGACATCTTTATATTTTCTTGGGATAACCTCATACGACTTGTCGATGTATAGGGAAAGCAAATTTTACGACGAATCGTTGGTGCAACTGTTTGAATCATTTGGTGGACCTAACGCTAGATTAATGGTTAAGATGGCTTATCTTCGTTTGGCGTCGGTGAGCCGCATATTGGGAAATTCGTCGGAGGAATTTGTGTGTTACTTCGTATAATATTCTCTTATTTAATAGACTTCTTGACATCTCGGCTACATGTAAACAACTGAATATATAATGTCCATATTCTAAATATAAACTAATCGTAATACGTGCGTTAATGATTAATAGACGTACATTACTATACCATTCCCTTTGTTTTAACTTGATTGTCAAATATCAAAATGTTGAATTAAATTTGAAGTTATTTAGCTATTTCATTGTTATGTTAGTTTATTAGATTTGATGGATATTCATGTCCGTATCGATTCGGTGGTCTTCGAATTCGGCTTGATCTTCTTGGTGCATTGTTTTCATTACTGATGGATGGCTGATTGTTCTGCGAGTTTTCTTCATAATCGAAACCTTCATCATCAGTGTCTTCTTCTCGTGGTTTATTTATTCGCTTGAAATGTGACACGTTCCGTTTCACAATATGACCATCTTTACTTTGGGCAAGCATCTCTGAACCAGTTTTCTTTATCACTTTATACGGTTTGTGATTAAAATTCGAAGTTAGCTTGTTTTTCTTTTCTTGTCTAACCAGTACATAATCTCCAACTTGTAGATCACTTTTTCTTGTGTTTCTCCTTTGATTTGCATATTCTCGGTTGCGTTCTTGTCGTGTTTTCTCATTGTCTCGAGCTTCTTTATGTCGATTGACAATTTTCTTGCTGTTTATAACTGGTAATTTTCCTTTTATCACTCGGTTAAACAACAGTTCTGATGGAGGTACTCCTGTAGTGCAATGTGGAGTGGTACGATATTGTAAAAGAAAACGGTTCAATTCTTGTTTCCATGGTCGTCCTTCGAGTGTCGCTGTCTTAAGCGCTTTTCCTAACGGTCGCATAAATCGTTCAACTGTAGCATTACCTTGGGGCCAATAGGGTGTTGAAAACTTAGCTTGAATACCAAGGGCTTTCAGATATCGTGCATAGTCGTCTCCATTAAAAGGGGGACCATTGTCAGATATAATGGTGTCAGGAATGCCATGGACTGAGAACATTTTGTCAAGTTTTGGAATGACTGTTGAGGCTCGTGTTGAATGAACTATCTCAACCTCTGGGAATCTGGAGTATCTATCTACCGCCACTAACAGATATTCAGACGATGGTAGTGGACCATAAAAATCTATGTGGACAGTTCTCCATGGTAACTCTGGCATTTCGGTCATACGTAATGGTTCTGGAGGATTCGCCTGTCCGACAGCTTGACAAGTGGTGCACTTAGCAATTGTGTTTTTGACTTGGTTGTCAATTTGCGGAAACCAGATTTTTTCACGAATTAGAGACTTTGTTTTCTCTATTCCTAAGTGTGTCTCATGTGCTATATCTATTGCACGTTGTTGTAGAGCCGCAGGAATGACAATCCGTGTTCCTCGAAGTATAACACCGTGTGTGGTAGACGTAAGTTCGTTTTTTACGGCTTTGAACGGTTTTACAATTGGGGAATCCCATTTGTTTGTTTTAATTGCATCATGGAGTGCCGTTAGTGCCGCGTCTGCGTTAGTTGCATTGATTATTTCTTGTAATGTCATCGCCTTAGGGACACTGTTCTCAGTTATAAAATTAATATATTGTTCCGTCATCTTCTCCTGTTTTCGTTTGCTTTCGTTTGTTGGATGACGAGAAAGATAGTCCGCAGGGTTGCTGGCACCTGATTTATAGATTATCTTAAATGTATATGGTTGGAGGCGAAGCACCCATCTTTCAATTCGTGCAGATGTTTTGGCTGTACGTTGGCCATAAATAATTTCTAAAGGTTTATGGTCAGTTATTAGTGTAAATTCACTTCCAAATAAAAATAAATGGAAATGTTCAACTGCCCATACTATCGCTAACGCTTCCTTTTCCGTCTGGGAGTATCTCTTTTCTGTATCAGTCAGCGCTCGGCTGGCATATGCAATTATCTGTTGACTGTCTACGTCACCGTTTCTTGGTTTCTGAGAAAGAATTCCAGAAATTCCTACAGGACTAGCATCAACTGTCACAAAAGTTTGTTTGTTTTTGTCGAAATATGACATACATGGAGCAATTGCAAGCGTGTTTTTCAGCTTTTCAAAAGCAGTTTGGTGTGTTTGAGTCCACTCAAAACGAACATCCTTTTTCGTCAGGTCACGAAGGGGAGCAGTTAGTGTTGCAAAATCTCGAATGTACTTACTACTATAGTTGGCCATGCCAAGAAAGCTCCTGACTTCATGTGCATTATTTGGCTGAGGTGCATTTAATAGATCAGCTACTCTCCTAGGATCAGGATGAGTACCTTCTTTCGAAAAGACCTGTCCGAAAAATGACAATGTAGTGCTAAGGAAATTACACTTGCTTCGGTTTAGTCGTAAGCCCTTCATTGCAAGTCGTTGTAGACATTTGTCAAGATTAGCGTCATGTTCAGTTCTTGTTGAGCCGAATACAATGATATCATCAGCTATGTTCTTGACGCCTTTAAGCCCTTGCAGTGCGGTTTGGAGTGTGTACTGAAATATCTCCGCTGCAGCGTTTGTACCATAGTTTAGTCTTTTGTAGCGATACAAACCTACATGAGTGCTAAAGGTTGTTATATAACGAGACTGTTCGTCCAGTTCTAACTGATGATACGCTTGGCTCAAATCAAGTTTCGAGAAAAATTTTGCTCCATTCAGGGCAAAACTAACATCATTTACTGTTGGTATAGGATGGCGTACTCGTCTTATAGCTTCATTTGCGAGCCGCATATCGACACATATGCGAACCTGTCCATCTTTTTTGGGAACAGCTACAATTGGTGAAACCCACGGAGTAGCTTCATTTTCGGGCACTTTTTCAATCACATCTTGATTTTCTAATTCAGTTATCGCGTTTTTCACTTTTTCTCGAATGTGATAAGGTATGCGCCTTTGGGGTTGTGCTTTCGGAATTTTAGTTTTGTCTATATCTAGTTTAATTTTTTCTCCCTTCAATTTTCCAAGATCGGAAAAAACTTTAGAATGCTTTTGAAGGATGTTTTCTAGTGCGGCATCCTTTGATGTCAGTTTGTCTAGATGCAAACTAATAAGTCCGAGTTCTTGTGCAGTAGAAAGAGAAAGTAAGTTTCCACAGTTCGCAGCTTTAGCGACATAGAATGTGGCTACAGATATTCGTTTTCGTGTTTCGATTACCGCTTCGAATTTTCCCAAAAATTCAACTGGTGATTTCGTATTATACGCGAAAGCTTTCGTGTTCGTGCGAGTTAATTTTATGTCTTGCATTTTGTTAAAAGTGTCACGATCGATCACATTTATTGTCGCGCCACTGTCGATTGTTGTTTGAAATTTGGCACCGCCTACTTTAACATTGACCTTGTTATTGTGCTTTGTATTTGTCATGGTATATAAATAGTCTTCATCGGAACTCGAGTTTGATCCTGTATCTAATGTTTTTAAATTTCTTTGTGCATGCTTTTTGTTTGAGTATCTCGGTGATCGCGTTTGTTTTTGTTTTCCTCGACAAACAGCAGCGAAATGATTCGGTTTTCCACAATTATTACAGGTTTTTCCTTTCGCTGGACATGCCCCTGTGTGTGGATAAGCACGCCCACAATTTCTGCAAATAACATTACTACTGTTCGAAATATTACCGTTATTAGGTTTTTGTTCTAATTTATTAGCCTCACCGTCAGTTTGTTCTTTAGATTCAATTTGTTCAGCTTGATACTTGCTCTGTTCGTCACGACGTCCTTCTAAAAGCATTGATTTTAAGTCAAATGTAGGATCACGCAGTGCTCGCTTTCGTATTTTTGATGAATTTCCGCCTATAATGATTTGTTCTTCGATTTCAAATTCAACGTCTGCGAATTCACAGGTTTCTGATATTGTTCTAAGTTTGGTGTGAAATTGATCTAATGTCTCATTGTGTTCTTGAGTTGTTTGTCTAAAACGATAAACTTCGTACCGCCGATTCTTTTGAGGGTCGAAGTAAGCCTTTAATTTCTGTTTCGCGATGTCGTAGTCCGTATCAGTTCCTGTCTCGGGGATTTGTTTAAAAATCTCGCGAACTCTTGGTCCGGCTTGATATAGCAAGAGTGCGCGTTTTCGCTTTGGATCCGTTATTCCACTTGCGGTTATATACATTTCGAAGTCTGACTGCCAATTGTTCCATCTTGTCGAAAGGCTTGTTCCGATTTTTGCATCTGGGCAAAATTCTGGCATTGGAGTTATTGTTACAGATTGCATGATCTGTACAGCCGGTTGCTGCAGTGGTTGAGGCTCTGCCTGCTCTTCCACCATCGTTTCGTTTAATAGAATACGTTTATCTTCGTCGCCATTATAATATTCTCTTATTTAATAGACTTCTTGATATCTCGGCTACATGTAAACAACTCAATATATAATGTCCATATTCTAAATATAAACTAATCTTAATACGTGCGTTAATTATTAATAGACGTACATTACTATACTCTGTTACTAGAGTTGTAAAATATTCTTAGAATAATCCCTCTATGTAACTTAAATGATATGACTCCCTTCACCTCATCTAATGATTTTTAGAACGTTTACAAAAATTCGATAATTCATAAAGAAAACAAAAAAATCATAAACTTGTCGTATCTCGATATGTGATAGAGATTTCCCTTGATTTAACTTTAACTTTAATTTTCTCGACTTACACAACGTATTTTTTGAAAATTATTACCGCCAATGAAACTTAATAGATCGATCGTTTTTGAAGCAATTTAAAACATTCGCATGCAGTACGTGTTTTATCACACCTGAAGATACTCAGCTTCGCCTCGTATCTTTATATCTGAGAAAACACTGCTGCTCAAGTTTTAAATAGTACATAAAACTAGATGGAAAAACCTGGATCTCATTTAGATCAATGATGTTTGTATAAACTTTTGAATTTAGTAAAAGAAACCGCTTTGATTTATCACTGTGACTTTGCAGGACAACGACTATTCACTTTGGACGAATGATGTGGCCAGTGTCGATGCTGCCGGTGTAATTTCAATGAATTTTTTAAACGAGACAAAAAAAACTGGAAAAACGACGCGGGTAAGCACTTAATTGAAGCGATTTCATTATTTTAAAAGATAAAAACATGCTATCAACTAGGTTTGTTTAACCGTAAACCTGCGAATAAGCCCTTCGCTTTAATATTCTACTTACTACCGTAAATATTCTACTTATGGCAATATAAATTAAGTTTGTCTTTTTTGAAAGAACATTTAAAATGACGCATAAACTTCCTTTATAATTATTCCGTATCTTGCTTGGTTTTCGAAATAAATCGACTTATTTTGATCAAAAGGAGCGTGCATTCCACCATCTTGGATATGCATTCGATATCCACACGTCACAAGCAGGGTAAAAAGCGAAATTTTTACCTTGCAAACCACATGCCATTATCAATATGAGACTCGATTTTCCGAAGTCTTTTTAGTACTCAATTAACTCGCAACATTTTAAGTAACTTTTCGAAGAACTCAGTCGCACATGAAGAAATTTTAGCAATTTTGCCCTGCTTATGACGTCATCAAAAACTCAGTTAATTAGGTCAATTATAATACCAAGATGTCGGACTGCACACTGTTGTTGGTCAAAATATTTCAAAAACCAAGCAAGGTACGAAAAAGTGTCTTCACATATATCTTTAAAAGTTCTTTCAAATGAGACAAAGTTAATTTTTATTGCCATATCCTTTTAACACCCAACTCAAATGAACCCCTCGAGTCCATGACCAGGGGCGTAGCCACGGAGAGGGAGGGACCCACTATCCTTCTTTACTCTTTAGAACCAATTTTGTAATTCGTAAGGGGCGTAACTTCGTAATGCTTTCATCTATGACATAAAATATACAAAATCTGTGTCTAAAATGCATGAAATGGTGTTTCGCAGGCCCTACAAATAGAAACATTTTCCGGACTCCCCAAGTTGCTCCGTGTATACTACGATTGCACGGTGCGAAAATTCCCGCACTTGCATACCGGGGGTACGCCACGTCGTTACTCTTGCCATCTGCGCACTTTTTCCTGGTACCACATGATGACCTTTCCAAGCCCAAAGGTATACTCAATACTGTAATTACTATAAGTTGGTATATCATGTGTCTGAGATGTCTTCGCATGAAACATGATTGGACTGATGCCACTAAGAAACGTTGGGAGTCCATTGTCTGTATATCGCAATTGTGCTTATTTTTCTACCTTGTACACATTTAAAAAATCTCGCATCTTGTATAGCAAGTTTGCCAACGAGCCGTCAACAAGTTGTGCTCGCACTGCTTGTCCCAAGTTGTCAACAAGTTTATTATCAAACATTATCAGACTTGTTGCAAGCTAAGTTGTTCCAACAAGTCCGATACAGCCATGATATAACAATATTGTTACAACATTGTGTCATCAAACTTTAATTAACATTCTTGTCATACCATGACTGTATCAGAATTGTTAGAACAACCTTGTAACATGTCTGATAATGCCATCAAGCTTGTTACAAGTTGCTAACAACTTGTTCCAAACTTGTCACAACAACTGGAAATAAGCAATGCAAACACAACTTGTCGACAGCTTGTGAGCCGATTTGCAACAACTCGTTTGCAGACCTGTAAACACCTTGTGCATTTTTACGTGTATAGTCTGAATGTACTTTTCAGAAACCTGTACTTTATGAACCTTATTCACGTACAAGTCCGGTAGAATGAGCAGCTAAGAAATTTGATTACTGTATCTTTAAAACAACCTCGCAATAAGCTTTTTGTTGCTCGAAAAACGGGAAAACCTTGGTTTATCGCTGTCTGTAGAATGACAGTGTTCCGTTGAGGATTACGTCTGGGATGACAGATTATTCATACTTGTTGCCTTGTATGAAGAATTTTTGTGTGTTCGAAGGCACTTTTTTGAGGTGACGTCGTGTTTTCTAAATCTATCCAATATATAGAAAGTCGAAAGATAAAGTTTTTGCAGTTTCACAATTTATTAATTTGTTTGAACTTTGAAAGCAGTTCATGTATCCATTGCGAGCTCGGTCAAAACATGCGCGATCTCGGGATCATCAAACGTACAGTTTTCCTTGATTGAAGAATTTCCATTGCCGTCTTTGTTTCAGACAATATTTCGTGCTTTGGTTGAACCGATTGTTCAATGTCAAGATCAAACTATTTTGGAGCAAGATGTCCAAAATGGAAGCGCTGCTAACAACACCGCGAAAAAAGATGATTTTAAAATCGTGTTCAAAGATACACATCTGGTAAGGAGCGCTTTCGAATGACAGCGCATATTTGATGTTTTCCATCTTTCCTAATCTTCTCATCCTCTACAAATTGAGGTACTGGAAAATTATTGCTTCAAAGTGGGAGGTTTACTACATTTCGTTTCTCAAGAGTATAGAGATGCAAGATCAGACAAGTACATGTAGTTCGAATGCGCTGCAGAAGAATCCGAGGATTCAATTTGCCAGTTCACTCTTTAATAAATATTTTGTTTGTGTTTCAATATGGAACCTGTATTTTCTGTCTGTTTTGTTCGATGCTTTATGTAGTTATAGGCAGGCCATTGGAGTTTGACTGCTAATATTAGCAAGCAATACATTTAAACCATCAAATTGCCAAACGAATAACTTTTCTTTGTCCTAATATCAGGAAAAGCTTGTTTATACACATGTCTGCATGTATACGATTAGTCCTAGTCCTTGTCCGGGTGGTTGCGGGCTGCTCATACATGCAGCGTGCCAAAATGGCATCTGTTGTTACACTAATTATTGAACCAAATTGCCTAAATTCGTCCATAGGAATTACGCATCTCTAGTTAATATTGATGTTGGGACTCTACTGCAAATCGCCCAGCAAAAACAGCCAAAACCATGAAAAAAATATTCAAAAAAAGATTTCCGACCTAACCCATAACTTTTTCACGATATGAAACCGGAACCACAGGTTGTTTTTTTAGACCTTGGTTAATGGTCTCTTAATGGTAGCAGTAGTGGAAATCATATGTGAACCTCTCTAATGGGAAAATCTTAAATGCAACCACTTCACCTATCAATGCTCATTACGTGTGCTTATTTGATTACATACGCCATGCAGAATAGGAATCGTATAGGACTAATCGTATCGTGTAGACAGGCCTTAAAATGGCTTGTTTTACTGTATTCTTGACTTGCAACCCTTGAGAATTCAAAAACAATAAACTGTTGGCCATGTTGGTGCCAAATTCAATGAAAGATGAGATTCGTTTGGTGAATTACAACCAACATGGCCGGAATGCAAGTAGTTGCAAGTCAAGAATACAACTGTGGTTGACAACAGTCACTCAATTTGATGGGGGAAATAACCTAACGCTAGACCGCCATGGTTAAATATCTTTATTTTTGTAGTATTCTGCAAGATCACCAGAAGAAGATGTCATTTTTAACGAAACAGCGTATGTTCAACCAGACCAGCCCACACATACTGCACTTCATCTGGTGAGATTACGCAATAAGCCAATTCAGAGTTTCCTCTGCGCATTCAAATGACGCGTTCTCCGTCGGGATAAATTGCAGTGGAATCATAACATGTAGCTAAGGCTGGAAGCATTAAAATTTGCATGTCAAAATGTCATTATACATACCAAACTTTATTTAAACCACGCTAGCCTCAACAGCCGTACGTTGGAAGGCTGGTTTCCATGAGGGGCGTGAAATTACCTACTTACGAGAAATTAACTATTTACAAAAAAATACGAAAGTATAACAATAAAAAAAAATACAAGTAATTTTAACTGCACGATTACACACAAGCAAATTTCAACTCATTCTTTTTGAAAGAGCTTAAGGATTCAGCAATTTTTGCCTCATGGGGAAGATTATTCCAATGCAAGGCATACCTTCTAACGCAACAAATCAATGCATGGTTTTTAAAAGACCGTCGGAGTCGGAATTCTCTAGTGCATGCGAAATGAAAAATAGTTGCATGCCAACGCACGCCTATAACATGCGATTCATTGCACGCCTAGCCTTTCCTTCCTGGGATGCCCTGCAGACCTGAGTAAAGTTTAAAGATTTTATATTTCCTTTACTTCCAGGTGCGTTGGAATCCGAACTACAGCAGCTACTACTGGTTAGCAACAGCTGGCAGATCTGGTCTGGTGAGATTATGTTATGTCAACAAGCTCGAGTAATATAACATAGACGAAATCGGAGTCTCCACCGTGCATCCAAATTATGCATTCTGCGCTGGGAACAAATTGCAGTTCAACTATAATATGTAGCTGAGACTCAAGACATGGAAGAATTAGAGTATGCGTCTCAGAGTATTCAAATGTTCAATCGTCATTTGAATATTTTTCGCTTTTAGTTAGAAAATATATTCCCTTAGGTGCACCTTTCTCTATTTTGTTTTACACAAAAGGCAAAATAAGCTAGTACAAACATCACTCAATAACAGTTCTTTTGTAACTGAAACACAAATAATGATTTATAAACGGTTCAAATCAATACTTTGATATTCATGTTCTCATTATTTCAATCTCAGCAACATGTTGTGATTCAACTGCAATCTGTTCCCATTTGCGGTCGCTGCGCCCACATCGCGCTTACTCTAGAAAGTTCCTCAACAAAGTAGTTTTGAGACGTAAATAAAGGTTATTGATGAATTCCTTGACTCGAATACAAAAATGTAAATAATTTTATTTTCTGACGTTGTCGGTGTTAAACTTCCTTATAACTAAAAGAGGAGTCTACTGCCACAGGCTTCGGTCGACACACCCTTGATTTATTTACTTCCTTACAAAAAGTTTTAAAAACCTTCAAATTAAACTTACTAGAAACTTCCTTTTTCCTCGGTAAAATTGACTCCTGAATCTCAGTTCACAGAAATATGTACCCGCGTTAACGCGGTCAAGGAAGTACATGAGAAGTGAAAATGCAAAACAATACTACTGTACTTGTAATCTAAGCCAGTTTAGCTTGACTTTGAGGCCAAGTAATACACGAACTCAACGAACACACAAGTAAAAAACAAGGTCTTTTCCTTTACAACCGGATCCATGGGTTCATCTTCATCTAAAGCTATTGCCCAAAATACAACATGCAGCCATAGTTCTTGGTATATGGAGAGTGCTGAAGAAACCGTAAAGCCTGCCGTAAAGGTTTGGTCTTGTCGCGTTAAAGCGGCATTAGGTTAGTCTGGGAGTTCATCACGAGATTGTGGTCGATGTTTCTTCGGAGAACAAATGGTTGTCTTCGAGTGGGTACGAGACGGTGAAGAATTTTACGCCTGTGCGAAGATAGGCGGACAGAAATGTATGGATTTGGGAAGGCATACTATGGAAATCATATAATAAAATATAAAATTATTGGAAATCATATAATAACAGATACAGCTGTAATCACTGGACAGAGACAGTAGTAGACAGGCTTGGCTATAATATTACTAGCCCGCGTGCAGGCCCAAGGGAACTGATAGTGGGCCTGCAAGCAAGGCCTGGTATTTTGTACTTTCCGCGTTCGCCCACGAACGCGGCATTCTGATTAGACCAGTGACTCATCACAAAGGCTCTCGATTAGCTTAAAATTCGAAAATTGATCGCTTTTTTCGATTATAAATGGAACAAGAACAGACTGTTTATTGTTTACTTGAAGGAAGAGATGTTTTTGGCGTTATGCCAATGGGGATTGCTTGTCGTGAGGTGTTGGAATAGCAACATTACGATTTACGACTGGGGTAAACTATAGTAACCTTTTATACTTGAGTTTCATTAATTTCAAACAGACTTGATACGTTATATGTTCGTCAAGAAAATTATCATTCGGTTGATGTTGACTCTGTTCTTGCACTGAAGAAAACAGCGCTTTTCGCGGTGAAGGTTTAGAGGCAGTTGCATGTAAGCCTATTCGAAGCACTTAGCGATTTACAAGGCTTCGCTGAGAGAGCGAAACAAAAGACGGTATTAAATTGCCGTTTGAAACGATCTGGACTCTGAACGCTCTCTTCCTTTGTAGAGTTCTTTATCAAATGAAATAACTGAAATAAATTTCGTACTTTCAGCCGCCAAAAAGAATTGCACACACGATCTGATAAGTGAGACAATTTATTTATAACAATGGCGACAGCGAAGCAACATTATAAATGCTAATGTACAGTACAGTAGTCGCACGACTTCCCTCACGATTTGAGGTTTGAGACTGGTTTTCTGTTGAAATTCGTCCTAATTTGCCTGTTCCGATTTTAGTTGAAAATGAGCACTTGCAAATTTGGCAATTACGGACTGCGTTGCTTGCTTTTTTGGAGTAAAAACACATTGTTTATGTTCTGAATAAGCAGAGAAAACCCCGCAACATTTTAATGCGAGTTTGTTTGTTAATATTTGGGTGCTGTCATTGGTTCTTTTTTGACAATTGACGCGCGAATGGGGCGTGTTATGAAAAGGGGCGTTTTACAAAATACCGAGCCTTGCTTGCAGGCCCACTATTAGTTCCCTTGGGCCTGCACGCGGGCTATAATATTACAGTTCACTAGAATTGGGACTGTGTTATGTAAAGACCATTTATACATTTTTTTATTTCCTACGAAAACGTATTTCCGGGAAATAGATGTGTGACATTGTTGACGTTTCTATAGGAAGTCGTTCCAAATACATCATCATCAATCAATTTTATTTAAAATGAAAACACGCTAGCCTCGCACAACTGAAAGCTGATTTACAGTTGGGGCGTGATATACATACAGGAGGGGCGTGTATCAAAAAAAGGTAATCGAACTTCAGCGCGCTATTATAATGAACAATTGGTTTTCATATTCGGAAAAATTAGGCTTTTAGCTATTGAATGGCATGCGTTTCATTCCAAGTGGAGAAAAAATAAGCATGTACGAGGCCGATTAAAAATGTTAGTCAAAATGGCATGTAGTAAAACATGGACTGGACTCATTAGTAAAACATGGACTGGACCCGATTAGTAAAACATGGACTCTATTAGTAAAACATGGACTCGATTAGTAAAACATGGACTCGATTAGTAAAACATGGACTCGATTAGTAAAACATGGAC